TCCAGCTAGAATGTTTTTCCTAATATTTATATTAACTGTCAATCAATTTCCTTATTTATTTTATGATGAGACATCTTAATGATTATTTTGTGCTTAAAATGTGTTGCACAGTCATTGATTTTTATGTCATTTTAATGTTTTGATAATACATATACTTTCTCCTTTTAATTGGCTGGTAACATACAACAAAAGCATTGGTTTCACTCCAATTTCCATGCAGATTTTCTGTATTTGAAAACAGATACTCTGACTTTTACAGCAAACATGAAGGGCATACTTTTGTGATATGTTTCAAAGAAGAAAAACTTGGAAAACCTTGGGCTATCAAGAGAGCATAAGCTTCTACATCTAGCCATTTAAGGCAGAATAATCTTTTACCTCCTTCCCCATCCATGTAAACTAAATGCAGAGAGATGGTCCCAATTCCCTTTGGTCTCTTGGTGGCCCATGGATAGGAGATGACTTGGATCTGAGCTTTTTGAGGACTCAGAGCCAAAGGGTGTTCCCTTTGACCTGACTGTGGGATGGGCATTTGTCCTGCCTTTCTAGGACTGAGCTCATCCAGGAGGCTGCAATATGGTCAGGCACAGTGTTGTCTCAGATCAGGGCTGTAGCTGGAACATATTATAAGAAGCAGGTAGAGCTAATGCTCATTTAGTGATGCAAAAGAAGAGAATTCTTCTTCTTCTTCTGACACTGGCACTTGAACTCAGGACTTTTTGCTTACTTGTTAGGCACTCTACCACTTGAACCATGCCTTGAGCTCTTCTTGTTATAGGTCATTTTTCAGGTATGGTCTCGTGTTTTTGCCCAGACTGGCCTGGACTGTGATCCTCCTATCTATGCCTCCCATGTAGCTAGGATGAGAGATTTACTTGACCATGCTGACTTTATTTTGTTGAGGTGGAGTATTGATAACTTTTTGCCTGAGCTGGCCATGCACCAATTCCTGAGTAGCTGGGATCACAGGAATGAGCCACTGTGCCCAGCCCTCAACTTAGCCAATTCGAAAAATAATTCTTTTATAGTTAGCTTATGTGTGTCTGTCCTTGTTATTCATGTAACCGCTCTACTTCCCTTGTCTACTTGATATGATTCCCTTTCCAAAAGGAAGAAACAGCAATTGCCTCCATTTCAGGAACTCAGCTAGGAGAGTTTCAAAATGTTCTTTTAGTTAGTGGATTCAGTTTGTACAACCACAAACAGAGCTAGTCTTGCAATAAAGAGACCTTGGTGGGTGAAATGTGTTGTATTTGTATGGGGAAGGCCATGACAACAACACCCATGATGAAAAGTATCTTCCCAAAAATTTGGTTGAAATTCTTTTAAAATCTACCAAATGAGATGTTAAAAATGCTTTTCCCCCCACCTTTTTCTTTTGTGGTGCTGGGAATGGAACAGAGGGCCTTTTGCTTGCTAGGCAAACACTACCACTGAGCTACAACCTCACTGAGCTAAAACCCCAAAGTGTTTTTTTTCTATTTTGGTTGAGAACTAAAACTCAAGAACTATTAAGTAGCCAGAGCCCTTGCATTTTAAAGTGAGATGCCTGATATTGAATGCTATTGCAAAAAGAGTAACCCTATAGCTGTCTGGTGACCCTCAGGTCATCACCATCTTCACCATTAAGTAAGATTCTGTTCCTTAAAGTATGGAGAGTATAAGAAATGATGCTGTATGCACATTTGGAAGAATTTAAAGGCACGGGACTGCCTTAGCAGAGTAAATCAGCTCAGCACTAACAATTACAGTCAGGATATCCAGAGTTTGGCTGGACAGGGATGGATGCAGGTATCTCATGGACCAGAGGTGGACCTTGAAAAGAGAACTATATTTGGGTTGCCAGGGACTCTGCCTGAGAAATTGACTACCTGACCCCTCACATGGCATCAGTAGAGTGCAGGCAATGGTAAGAATCGAAAGTGATGAATCAAGTGATGAATCAGTTGTGCCAGGGACCAGTGTTTTAGATCCCAAATAGGGAGACCAACAATCAACAAAAACACCTCAAGAAACAGAGAACCAGCATTAAAACACCTAATGCCTCCTGGTTTACCATCACTAGACTCCAACTGTGCTAATTGAGCAAGACCTCTTTTGGCTTTTGTCCTCTAGTTCTTGCTGCTCTGACTCTGATGAAGGGAGAGGTGGTTTGGGGAGGTGGAGAAGAGGAGTGAGGTGGAGGAATTTAGAAGTAAACTCTACCCCTTCCCCATTATAAGCACTGAGGAACCGTTATGATAAACTGAAGTCTGAATATTAGGTTGTCCTATAATTTTTATTTTCTGAAAAAATGATTATTTGTTAATGGCTAAGAGTGATGAGTAAGTCTCTGAGTTGTGATTTCCCAGGGATAGGAAACATTGAGTTGACATGGCACAGAGGAAAGGTACAATGTTAAAAAAGAAAACAAATCCCACATAGGTTATAATTTAAAGAAATCTTAAAAGTTATATACTTCATGTGTTTGTTGAAAAGTCAGAAAAATATTCATACCCTCTTGTTCACGATTTTCTGGTTTGGCCACAGTTCCTTGGTATCTTTCCACTTTTTTGGATATGGTAATCAGGATAAAAGATTTTAAAACTATAGAACTATAGGAACAAGAAGTAGGAAAAAAGTAAAATTTTAAAACTGAAAGGAAGATACTTAATTACAACTTGGATGATCTAGGAAAGTTTAGTAGAAGAGTCTGGAAAAAATGTTGGGAAGATATTCCATAGGTATGCCGAGGAAAAAGAGGTGTGGAAGCTCAGATAGAACATGTAGAATACTGTCCTCTTAAAATGTGGCTTAAAATGATTTTAATGCATGCATTGAATACATTTGATGTTTTTAGAAAGTCATCAGTCAAGATTTGAATTATATTCACCCCCTACTTTCACCTTCACTACCTTTAATTGTCAATAAAAGTAGGAAAATATAAATAAACATAAGATAATGGACACTGTCTATAATTTTATTACCAGAAATAAACTGTTATCCTTGTTAATTTCTTTCTAGAATAAATTTTAAGTACTCATTTGATTTTTCAAATAAAATGTAATCAAACTTTACATGCATTTTTGTAACCTATCAGATTCTCAATATTTAGGCTCCTGCTATTACATGAAAATGATTACAAAAGACCTCAGGGTTTTTAAAGCATGGAAGGAGCCACCCACAGCACTAAGGAATAAGAGGAGAGTCACCACCTCCTGCCTACAGCAATGACGCAACTTCTGGTTACTCATTCCTGGAGCTCATTTCTCTTTTAACTCTTCAGCCATCAGCACGGCTTCTCCCCTCTAGGTGTCCTCATGGTACAGAAGTTACAGGGAAGAAGAATGGAGAAAGAGTTTAAGATGATGGGACCATCATTTAATGCCATGTAACTATATGGAAGATTTTTCAATTTGTTTATCAATGACATCTCTCATCCTTACTTGTCATTATAGAAATGACAAATGAGGTGTAGTTCTCATAATTACATCAATTTTACCTTAAAAACTGAATTTATTTTTAAGTTAGCAAGCAAAAATTGTATATATTTATATATGTCATATTTCATATGTATATGTTAGTGAATTGAGCTCATTAACTTATGTATTACCTCACATACTTGCATTTGTGCTAAGAATACTTAAAATCTGTTCTCAGGCTGGTAGAGTGGCTTATGTGGTAGAGTGACTGCCTAGCAAGTGTGAGGCACTAAGTTCAAACCCCAGTACTGCAAAAGAAAATCTATTCTCTTAGCAAATTTCAATAATAATAACAACACATTTTTATTAACTGTAATCACCATGTTTCACAATAGATCTCTTGGATTTATTCTTCCTATGTAACTGAAAATTTATATCCTTTAACCATCATCTACTCAACACTTCTCCCCCCACAATTCTCAGCCCTGCTAATTCCACTCTTGGCTTCTATGAGTCCAACACTGTTAGATTCTATTTACAAATGAGGTATTCTATGGTATTTATCTTTTTTTTTATCTTTACTCATCCCATGAGAAACAAATGGGTGGTACATAAAGTGAGAAAGAAGGAAAGGTCACTAATAATGTGGATCCTGGAGGTCATCACTATTGCCATATCGTCTTTCCTATCATGTTTTTTCTTTTATAAAAAAGGCATTCCAGCTGGCCTGCAAACTCAAATGTCTTCTGCATAGTTCAGATTAAAGCAAAGATACAATTTTCTGTCCTGTTTTTTCAACTACATTATAACACAATTATTTTCCCATGTGATAATGACATCTTCTTTTTTTTTCTTTTATTATTCATATGTGCATACAAGGCTTGGGTCATTTCTCCCCCCTGCCCCCACCCCCTCCCTTACCACCCACTCTGCCCCCTCCCTCTCCCTCCCACCCCCTCAATACCCAGCAGAAACTATTTTGCCCTTATCTCTAATTTTGTTGTAGAGAGAGTATAAGCAAATGAGGTATTCTATGGTATTTATCTTTTTTGTGCTTGTCTTATTTCATTTAACATGATGCCTCTGTGTCTGTATTGTTGCACATGACAAGTTTTCCTTTTTAAAGGGAGAATAGTATCCCACTGTGTGTATATTCTCTCCTCTTTGCAGTGCTGGAGATCAAATCATGTTAGGCAAGCATTCTACCATGGAGCTATACCATATCCCCTTGTTTCACATTTTATTTATACTTTCATCAAATGATCAATACTTAGGTTGATTTCGTATCTTAACTTTTGGAAACAATACTGCACTGACCATGGGACAGCAATACCTCTTCAATATATGGATTTCCTCTGGATACATAGCTGGTTACATTGCTGGAGCATATGGTACTTCTATTTTTAACTTTTTGAAGAAGCTTCAAGCTTCTACTTAAAATGGATTCTTAAGAAAAAAGCAGAATCACTTAGTCTTTTACTCTTTTCATCCCTTATACTTCCAGCCCACAAATCCAGACTTATATAGATGTATGTATTGGTTTTCAAGTCATTAAAGAATTAAAAGCTAAAATAATGCTTTATTGTTTTTCTTCTCCAGGAAATAAGCTTACTCATTTTGGTGGGATTTATAGGAGAGTTTCAAGTTTTTACAAGGTAAGGATGGTTTATTTTTGGATTTTTTGTGGAAATTTAAAAAATATTTTAGGAAATTCTTTAGTATAATTTCATTTTTACATTGCAGCTTGAGCGTTTATCTGTCCACAGTTTTGTCTTTCCTTATATTTAGAAAAAGGAGCAACAAAAATGTGCTTTATTCTTATTCTTATTTTACTTTAGTTTTTCCTTGTCAGGAAGAAACTTAAAGACTAAAATACGTCAAGGTCTTACTCCCAGCACCGTGGTTTTCCCTGTAATTTAGAGAATTGAACAGACCTACAGATCCTACAGCACCGTTTGATCTTTAAGTGTAATCCTTCTAAAAACTTGCCCTGGACTTTAAAGGTTGAGAGTTATTATTTTTTTTTACAAAATAGTTTTAATGTGCTCGTGAATTCTGGGGAAAAAAAACCCATTTACTCTTGACTTCATTTTGTTCTCACCGTCAGATTGATGGGAACAGGTCAGCTCACCTGATGGAACTATCAGAATATGTGTTGGGGGCTGTGCTAAGACCTGGGGATTCACATAGGGAGACCTGGCACTGAGGGACTACCTGATGATTCAGATGCTGAGGCAGTTACAGTGATGCTCTGCACAGGGAGCTGAAGGGCATGCAGGAAAGACGACCAAGCAAGCTTCCCTTCTTAGGCCTCAGTGTTTGTGGGAAGGCTGCTGCTTCTCCCCAGGGTACAAAGTGGACAAATAACAAGAAGTTCAGATTGTTTAGGGGTCAAAAATCCAAGTGTTTGGATTATTGGTGTCATATGCAAACCAGTCATGAAGGTAGGTTCCAAAAATCCCTGGAGGCACACATTCTGCAGAATTGCCTCATTACTTTTGGGTGATCTGACAGTTTTAAGATATTCAAGAATCACTTTGACTCCAGATGTCTCCCAGTTTAGGACTGTGCTGGGAATCCAGAAATCCAGATTTACCTTTTTAATAAGTCTTTCCTAATCTCCTAGGACTGACCTAGTGTGTTCTTCCACAGCCCGAGCTGAGTTAGCTCTTCATTTCCCTCTTCGGAGTGGAATTGTTTGCAACCAAGATTGCCCCACTTGGTTGTGTACTTGAGAAACAGTCTAAGAGAACAAGGGAAACACGTAAATATAAATTACTGTCCATTAAGCCTCTGGTAGTTTTTAAGTTTCTTCCTTCTCATACGGGCTTATTAGAACTTCTTGTCTCTCAGTTGTTTTTGTATCATTCATCAACTCATCGTTCAGAATCTCTTCAAAGGCAAAACACCTTCCTTCTGTATGTTCTCACCTGCCCTCCCTTCTCTGAACCCTCCTCCAACCATATTTCCATAACACATTGTATTCTAACATGTTATGAAATCTATCAAATTAAATATATTGTATTATGATTATTGGTTTATCTATCTTTCTCTATGCTTTCTTCTGTCAATAATCTACGGCCTGTTGCTTTATTTGTACAACTCTAGTGTCTTAATAGTACCTTGTACATAATAATTGTATAATAGATGCTAATCTCCAATAAAACAGTTTGAGGACACTTCTAGTATCTCTTAGGAAAACATTTTTGAAGCATTTCTTCTTTTTCATCAGCATATAATAATCATACAAAATAGTAGGCTTCATTGTGAGATTCTTCCTCTTTTTCTTTATTTAGATAGGGTCTTGCTCTGTAGCCCACACTGGTTTTGAAATTGCGATCTTCCTGCCTCTGCCTCCTAAGTGCTGGGATTACAGGCATGCACCACGACACCCAGCTTTCATTGTGACATTTGCATGCATGCATATAATGTACTTTATTGAAAAATTTTTGGACTACTTTTGACTGTTCATTGTGTTCCCTTGCTTATCTTTCCACCTACTTCATAACCAACAATTTGACACTGTGACAGTGCCTCCTTTCCAGTCAATTGCCAGTGGGATTCCTATGGCCCTTGGTCGGAATGCAGTGGCTGTACCAAGACTCAGGTAGGACCACACAAAATTTTGTGTTTGATTACTTATATGTAGTATTAGGTTTTCAATGTTCATTAACTAGTGTTAATATTTAACAATTAATTTAATAATTCTGGGGGGAGAAAAATATGACTTGTTTACAATTAATACAGGAAGAAAGAAATTTCTGCAAAATCATTTTTTTCTTGAAAAACTTTTCTAAAGTTTACCTTCAACTAGAAAGATAAATAGGCTAAAATTTAAAGGCAATTCAGTAACTATTAAAGAGATAGGAATAATAAGAGATGGAATTCAAAATCGTTTTCTTATTCACTGGGTATGACTTCTCATTTAAACATACACTAGAAAATAGCAAAATGACTGCTTGTTTTACTTCACAAGTGGTGAACAACCATAAAAAAACCAAACATTTTGCAGTGTTCTAAATTTTACCTCCTATGTAATACAAGTAAAATACGTCAGTTGACCTGAATATTATACAATACTTCTAAAATATGTTTTTTCCTTTATAATATAAAATATAAGGAAAAAAAACAATACTCATAATTCTACTATTTAAAAGAAACACATATGCCAGCACTTTGGTATTTATTTTTTCAACTTTCTTTCTGTGTGCTTATATTCTTTAAAAGTAAGATTGTTTAACCGTAGCTTTGTATTATATTATTTTAGTCTAACATAATTTCATACTGATTGTATGAACTTATAGCATCTGCATTATATTCCATTTTATGACTACATCTATCTAATCTATACACTTTTATGGTTTATCATTCTTTTGTTATTACATTATTATTGTAGTGGGGATACATTGTGACATTTACAAAATCTCTTGTATCATAGTTAAATTACTCCTCCATCATTGTTCTTTATCCTCCCCTCTCCCATTCCTGGAATAGTTTCAACAGGTCTCATTTTTCCATTTTCATACATGACTACATAATATTTCCACTACATTCATCCTCCTTCACCCTTTCCTTATATCTTCCCCCCTTCCTCTAGTACCAACCACCAAACAGGACCTGTTTTACCTTCCTGTTCTCTGTTTTTGAAAAAAGACATTTTTGTTTTTTTAAGATAGATCTAGCTGTGACATTTCCATGCATATATGTATTATAACCTGAATTGGTTCATGCCCTCTTTTTTTCTCCTTTTTACCTTATTCCCCTTCTTATGGTGACTTCAACAGACTTAAAAATTCGATATTCATTCTTATAATTTATACACTTTTGATTATTTGATATTTAGGTTATTTCCACTCTTTATCAAACAAAAATTTTAATGAACATTTAAACATTATTTTATTTTATTTTGAATTAGCATACATCAATAACATGAGGGGATTTCATTGTGATAATTTAACACATGCATACAGTATACCTTGAACAAGTTCACCACTTCCTTTATATTCCCATTCTCCTCCTCCCTTCTTTTTCATACAGAGTATGGTAGGTTTCATTATGCTGTCTTCATATGCATATATATAGTATACTTCTGTCCTCTTCACCTCTCAGTATCCTTTTCTTTTCCCCTCCCCCTTCGTGCTGATTCTCCTAGCCATTCTCCCATATACATTTATGTCCCATTATTATTATTATTATCATTATTATTTTAAGTCTAGGTTTCACAAATGAAACCTAGGGAGAACATATGATATTTGACCTTTTGAGCTTGGCTTATCTTACTTGGCCTCATCATTTCTTGTTTCATCCACTTTCTTACAAGTGACAAAGTTTCAGTTTTCTTTATGACTGGTATAATATTCCACTATATATATATATATGTATATATATATAACATTTTCTTTATCCATTCATCGATTGTTGGGCATAATGAACATTTTTATATGTAGATTTCTGTTCTCTTTTCTCACAGTTTTGACAATGAATTCCTAAAAATATAATGCTTGTTTTTATTTTAAAAGTTCTGAGCATTTTAATGGTTAAATATTTTGAAATGGTTCAGTTTGGATAAAATATATGATTTACATCATTTTAAATTGTTAAATTCATTTTAAAATAACAGAACTATATTATAGAAGATAATTCCTGTTTTGAAGTATCATTATTATCAGCATTTTTTTTCAATTTTTCCTACTGGGGACCAAACCCTGGGTCTTGCATATGCTATGTAAGTGAACTACTGCTTACCTACTCCTACACCTAGTTCTTTCATCATACTTTTTCAAGTGTTTATTTATTATCTACATGAGTGCTATTTTCAAAACAATTTGTACAAATGAAGAATTTGGCTTCCAGCAAATACAATAGATGACAGCTCTGATAACAGGTACCAAGGTACCTGAACAATGAGGCAAAACCCAAAGAAACCTTTAGCTAATAAAACATTCTATAATTTAAAAGAATTATAAATAAAAGTAGGCAGAGGGTATTTTTCATGGGAGTAATGTTTCTTTTGAGTGAAGGTCATCATGCAATGAATACATCCACAGATTACAAAGCAAAATTTTTCTTCAGAAATAGGAAGGTGAAAATCGAAAAGAGGTCATAGGCTCAAGATCTGACAGGTGAGAATGAGGCTGTTGAGAGTGAGCAGGCATCATGACACCTTGGTCATATGCAGAGCAAAAAACATTCCTTATTAAAAACAATGTGCTTTGTTTGCAATCCCAGAAGAAGACACACTGATAAATCATACAGGTGTCATTTAAAAACAGAAACAGAAACTAAAAACATTATCAAGAAACTTTACTAGATTCTATTTCTCATTCGAAATTTCTCTGCTTAAATGCAATGAAAAAGCCAGGCTTCAGCTGACTCAAACTACATTACTGTGATGACTTATCCCAAGGTGTCCCCATTTCTAACCCAATTTAGATAGATGAGTAAGTTCAAAATTGGTTTGTATACCTACTCTTCCCTGTTGATTTTTGCTCAAGGTTTACATCTTTTAGAAATGAGATTTGGTTTGTTTTTATTAATGGAGAAGGCATGAGGGCTGGAAGAGGCTTAAAAGATGCACCTTTGGTTACCAATAGAGAGGAAAAGAGTTTTGTAGATCTTTATTTTTGTTTTAACATTAGACATAGCCTTCATATTGAATAAGGACTAGGTGAATTTTAGGACAAATAGGTTGCAAGTTTCTTGTTTAGCTTGATGATTTCCCCAATTTTCCTCTTTTCCCTGGAGGTATGTTTTTTGAATATTTCCCATTTCAAAGGTCAGTGTTTTTTGATATTTAGAAAAATTCCATTGTAAATGTAGCTTCACCCTAGGACTGCTTAAACTCTGTTTGGAAACTTGATCTCAATATTAGTAGATTTCTCTCTGGATTCTTTTTCCTTGTCTCACCATCTTTAAGAAGGCCCAAGACTCAGATCAAATCAATTGCCACCACTTTTCCTAAGGCTTCCCTAGTTCCACTTCATCTCAATCTCCATTCTTAGGACCTTTACCTTCCTTCCAGCAAAATTCATTTCACCATTTCTAATTAGCCATTGTTATATACAATAGCGTTGGACAAAACATTAATCATTTTACATTGTAATTTATTTGCTTATGTGTCTACCCTGTTAAGCTTCACTCTTTCATGTTACTTTTTCTAAGACTCACTAAAAAGGTTTTCTTTTCACTTAAGACTGAAAGTAATTATATAGCTGGGAACTGTTTGTAAATAGTAACCCACTGTCACTGAACTTGAGGACAAGAGGGCCTATGGATTCACTGATTTTGTAGGTTTTTCTTCTGCAGAACACCAGAACATTTTCCTGGACATTGTTTCTCAAATTGTATAACTCCTCTCAGATTTTATTACTCAAGAAAAGTGGAAATAACAAAATAAAAAAAAGACTATCCCAGGAAGGGGGAAAGGAGAGGGTACAGGGTGGGGGCGGTGTCACACACACTGTGCACTATGTTGTCATCCGTGTATGTACACGAAGCCCAGCAAACACTGTTTGAGAAAGGGGAGGGGAAGTCAAGGGAATATGCTTACTAAAAGTACACTGTATGCATTTATGGAATTATCACAATGAACCCTCTTGTACACTTAGTGCATGGTGATAAAAATAGTTTTTAAAAGACCCTGTTTTGTGTTTAGACACGCAGACGATCAATTGCTGTTTATGGGCAGTATGGGGGCCAACCTTGTGTTGGAAGTCCTTTTGAAACACAATCGTGTGAACCTACACGAGGGTGTCCGACAGAAGAGGGCTGTGGAGAACGTTTCAGGTGTTTTTCAGGTAATTTGCTTTCCAGAGTCGCAGTGTGCAGACTGTAAATTCAAATGCTACTTGTTTAACTTGCTCAATACATACTTGTTGAATTTTACATTGGCCTGTAAGTTAATTTTCCCCAAAGATTAGTAGGATTTTATTTTTTTTTTTTGGTATATGAATCACATACTCAGATAGCATTCTTTCAAATGTGAGGGAGGTATCTGGTTATAAATGTGGGAGTATTCTTTGGCCTTTTATTAGCATTATAGCTATTTATAGCCCTGAATAGTTCTGGACATTGCATTTTTGTTGAGGATGCCAACACTCTGGTGTATATATGAGATTGAGCAAAAACAATTTCCTACCCACATTACTATGTTACAAGAAAAGTAACTACTAGTTTATCAAAGAGCAACACAATTCACCCCTATGGATGGGGGTGACAGAAACATAGTTTGGCATTTCATATTATTTGACTGATTTTCTATGCTGCATTTATGCAGTCAGATTGAATAACTTTTAGTAAACTTTCATTATTCTCATTATGATTCAAGTATAGTGATTTAGAAGTGAGATACATATATTTTCTCTCAAATACAAAATTTTTATGAGTAGAATAGTGTATAAGAGTCTATGCATTAGGTTTGTTCTTCAGTAAAACCTGTCAGACTTTTATTTTAGTTTCAAAATCCAAATCAGATGATAGCTGCTTTGGGAAGATTTTCCTAACTCCCTAACTGCTAAAAGTAATTAACAAATCACTCTGTGTGCTGTCTGTGTAATTTGCACTGTCTGCAATCTAGATTATTTCTTGGTAGACTCTAAACTCCTTGAAGGCATGGGTTATGTTTCTTTTATTTTTTCATGTGCAGTGCCTGATACATAGATAGACTTTCAACAAATGTTTGCTGTATTGCACTGCATGATAGTGTAGTGGGCTACATAGCTATATTATAAGGACATTTGTGCACAAGGCATCTTATGGGAACACAGAGAAAGAAAATCTATGGTCTGTGAGACAGGGATGGTTTTCAAGAAGGGATAATATTGAACTTGTCTCTTGAAGGTCAAATAGGAGAGAGATAGAGAAAACCCTTTTAAACAGAATTATAAGTGTAATTTCACTAGAGATGACAGAAAACATGGGTTTTTACTCATCCAAATGGCCCTGTATGACTAGGGCATAGAGGTCTAGTAGGAGAATGGCTGGACATGATGGAGGGGAGGTAGGCAGGGGCTAGATAATTTGGTACCCTCCAGAGCTCCCTTGGCACACTGAGCTTATGGCTATCATAAGTTGCTGATTGATAATGATTTATGTCTTCACAGACATGTTAGATTTAACAGCATATGAAAAGGTAGGTAAGGATCATTTGTATTCATATTTGTACCTCAATACTAGGTAGATGGTTTTGAACAGAGTAGATGCTAAAGAAATGCTGAGTTTTAACCTTTTGACCCAGCCCCCATGCTCTCAAAAGTTACAAATCTGAACCACCAAGGAAAGCACATTTTTGCACCTTGGCTAATGCTTACAGAGAGTTAGTAAAAAGTAGATGGGAAGATCAATCTTTCAAGTTAGCGTTGTACAGATTTTGAAGGATTTAGGCAAAACTGCTTGATGACTGTAGGTGAGCTTGGAATTTTGAATTCAGGTTCTATTTTCAAGGGAGAGTTCTTTCTTTTTTTTTTTTTTGTTCATTTATTCATATGTGCATACATTGTTTGGGCCATTTCAGGAAGAGTTATTTCTGTGTGCTGCAAAATAGAGATTAAAATAAAAACTAGTCCTTTCTAAGACATGCTGAGGACTTAGCTCAAACTCACATTAGTGTATCAGTGCAGTGCTAGGGATAAGGTAGAAATTGTTTTTATCCCAGATTTCCTTTCTTCCCTCTTCCTCTTTTGTATTTGCATGGGGGCTTTTCTTGTGTTCAGGTCAGTGCATCAGCAAATCATTGGTTTGCAATGGGGATTCCGACTGTGAAGAAGATGGTGCTGATGAAGACAGATGTGAGGAGGCAGAGAGCAGACCTTCCTGTGACATTGATAAACCTCCTCCCAACATAGAACTTACTGGCAACGGGTGAGGTGCTGAGCAGCCTCTTGAGTATGGAGTTTGTTAATGGGTTGTAGTTTTTAATTTTGTTTTGTTTTATTTTATAGTTTGGTGAGTCTAATAACAAATCACCTAATATTTCAAAACTCTTCATTGGCTTAAAGCCCTTTGCTGACCTTTGTCACCTGTGGGAATTGGAGACAACAGTGAGGAGAGAGAGGAAGAAGAGGAGGGAGGGAGAAAGAGAGGAGAGAGAAAGAGAGGAGAGAGAGAGAGAGAGAGAGAGAGAGAGAGAGAGAGAGAGAGAGAGAGAGAGAGACAAGATACTAATTTGATAATAGGCTGTTCAAGAGGACACAATGAGGGAGAGAAGAGAGGACAGATATCCTGGCTGAAAAGTGATTGCCTAAACTTAGAGAGATTGAAAAAACCCCATTTCCTTTTAAAAGGAATTCTGAGGAAATTTTAGAAGTTGTTTTACTTAAGTTAAGGTTTTAGTTTAGAATTAAATCAATTTTAGGGTGTTGCTTTCCAAAGTAGTTTATTTAAAGTCACGGATGTGATTTGCCTATAATATTTAAAAAATTTTAACAGAGAAGCACGGTAAAGTTACTTCAAGGAGTATTGTGCATAATAAGAAACAATCAGTTGAAAATTCATTGTAGAAAGCTCTCTCTCCTCCAGAGTAACCTTAATTGTATTGGTTTTATCTATGGATTCAATTCAAAACCAGCTGTTGCTATAGATACAACAGGCCTGCACATTTCCCTAATACATTCTTAGGCTGAATGGATATTGCATTTCCCTAGCTATTAGTGTTAGCTATTGCACCAAGCTGGGGAAGTTGGATGATGTATGGTGTGCATTAGGGTGCTGTTCTCTTTATTTGTTCTCTCTCAAAGAAGTGCTTAATTGTAAAGTATTTTAAGAATTTCTAGAATCTCTTAATGTTTTTCAGCAAGTAGTGTTTCTTCTTTTAAACCACCTTTCTTTTTCCCCTCTTCTTCCTCCTCCTCCTTCCACCTTCTCTTCTTTCTTCTAACAGTTACAATGCACTCACTGACCAGTTTACGAACAAAGTTATCAACACCAAAAGTTTTGGTGGTCAATGCAGAAAAGTGTTCAGTGGAGATGGAAAAGATTTCTACAGACTGAGTGGAAATATCCTCTCCTATACATTCCAGGTACCCAATTGCATCAATTTAATTGATTTCTAATTTGTGTATTAAAGTTTTGTATTTGTTGAGAATTTATTTACTAATATGTGGTCAGTTTTAAGAAATGTTTTATGTGTGTTTAAAAAGAATGTACCTTCTTCAGTTCTTGGGTATAAAGCAATGATACTTTTAACCAATGTAATCCAAGCTGATGGGTTTGTTGTTGTTGTTTTTTGTTTATTTTGGTGGGTCAGGGTTTGAGCTCAGAGCTTTGTGCTTGCAAAGCAAGTGTCCTGCCACTTCAGTCAGCATTTCAGTCCAAGCTAATTTTTTAAAAATATGGTGCAAATACTGTGTACACATGTGTGTAAATGGAAAAACAAGACCTGTTGAAATGATTCCAGGAATGGGGGGAGAGGGGATAAAGGAGAATGATGGAAAGGGTGAATTCATCTATGATATATTGTAAGAATTTTTTAAAATGCCGCCATGTACCCGCATCACAACAATAAAAAAAATAGAAAAAAAAGGACTATATTTGTTGTACAGATAAGATTCATTGTGACAATTGTAAATAGCCTTACACTGTACATTGATTAGATTCATCCCCTATCAATCTCCCTCTTACCCCCTCCCCTATTTGTAAAACAATTTCAACAGGTTTCATTTTGTACTTTCGTAAGTATACAAAGTACATTGATCATATTCATCCTCCTTCACTCTCTCCCTTCCCACTGCTACCTACTCTCTGAACAGGACTTGTTTTATATTCCTGTCCTTCATTTTTTAAGTGTATATTAATTGTTCAAAGTGGTTTCACCATGGTATTTTGCACATGCATATATTGTATTTTAATCAGACTAACCCCTCTCTTAGTCAAAATTAAAGTTTTGAGATTTATTCATGATAATGAAAATGGTATATTTATTGCTGTTTCCAATTTTTTCTTGTGAAAATGCTTCATACATTTCTATGCATGAGTCCCACACAAATGAGTTAAAGTTTCTTTAGGGCATAGACCTGCAACTCAAATTGCTGCTTTCTAGCATGCGTACATACTAAACTTTACTAAGTAAAGTTTCCAAAGTGGCTGCATTAACTTATACTCCCACCAGCAGTGTGCAAGAATGACCTTGTCTCCATATTCTTGCCTAACTTTATAACTTTGCTTATGATTTCAAGGTCTCCTTTGGCTCCAGGCTTGTGTTCTCAAATTCTCTTTCTGTCATAAGAACCTAAACACATCCTGTTGCTTGATATTAACTCATACAAAATAATTGTGGCTTTAGGAGTTTTTCCTGAGGATTTTGGGGGATGGAAGAAAGACTTTCAATTACAGTATTCCATACACATTCTGGCCATCCAAATTGGCACCCTTCATCTTAAAACACCTTCTACACCCTCAACAGTGTAATGTTTCTGGTCTTGTTTTGTTTTAGCCTTTTTCTTGTCTTCCTCTTCCAAGATCCCCTTTCTAATTCCCTTTTCTCTTTTTAACCAATAACTCCTCACAATTCCAGTTCAACTGTCCTTGCTTATTATTCTCAAATTTGTAAGTTCAAACTACTAGGATATTCAGATAGAAATAGAAATGTCTTTTGCTTACTTAGATTAGGCCTCCACAGAAAGTAGCTTTGTTTATAAATAGCAAAGCCACCATCCAACTTAGTAGAATCAGTTACACTTAAGAGCTATTGAATCATGAAAATGAAATGTAAAACTGATCTAAAAAGTAACTGTAGCTACCAGGTTTTTGAATATCTACTGTGGCATCTGCTGTGTTATAGCCAATTGCGATAGGTTTAATTCTTACAATATCCTTAGAAGGTAAGTAGCATTTTTCTATTTTATAAACATAGAACTTGAGGTTCAGAGAATTTTAGCCAATTAATTCTACATCATCAAGTTAGGAAGTGGTACAGTTGGATCCACTGTTAGATTTCACAGCCCTTTATTTTTCTATCACATTTTACTCTACTCATATATTGCAGTTAATTTCTTTTTCAAGTCTAAATTCTGCATGGTGAATAATATGTATTGTAATTTAACCTTAAGCTAAAGGGAGAATGTGAGTTAGGTGTATGTACATAATTATTTTTCTTCTTCTATTCCTGGGAGGATATATTGCTAATTCTTTCATAATTGCAAAGGAAGGATTACATGTAAATTTTCTAAAGGGTCAAATTTAGAAAGTAACAGAGCAGATGAAATAATAAAGAAGAATGTTTCCAACTTAGTTGAAGGTAGACATACTGGAAGTCTGAAGCTTCTGAAAAAGAGAATAAGTTAATAACAGCATGATCCTAGCATCCATTTTCTCCAGTAGGGCTTGCTTTTGGATTGACATCTGAAATGTCTTTCCAGTCACCGATGTGAAGGTGTTTGTCAGAAGCAGAGGGAAATTATAGCCTGTTATTGAGTGAAGAATGGCAATGTTTTGAAGATCTAGCCTGAGGGAAGTGAGGTGGGAGCAATAGGCAGAGAGTTAATCACCCAAGTGCTCAACCCAGATGTGATATGGAGATGGGGAATGTTCTGTGTGGATAATTCAAATAAGTTGATTCAGGGTCCACCGGGTGGTCAGTTCTTTGCAAGGTGGAAGATGAGGTTTAGCTTATTGAAATATCAATATTAGTAAATATGCATGACAATGAATCAATCTTACTAATAATCTCTGTGTTGATGACCAGGATTATGTTTTTTCTAGGGTGAACTTGGTTTCTTCTTGAATTCACCTCTTACTCTGTCATGCATACTTTGTACATACTCATTCTTTTCACACTTAAGCATTTTTCTGCTCCTTTAGCCTGGGAGATGACTGAGAGTGTTATATTCATTCTTAGCATGTGATGAGTTGCTGATGGGAGTGAGTTAAAGACCAGGTTGGATAAACTTCATGAATTCTTATATATATAAGATTTTTTTTTTTCAGTACTGTGGTTTCAGCTCAGGGTCTTGCACTTGCTAGGCAGATGCTCTATCACTTGAGTTACAACCCCAGCCCAATTCTCCTGTAATTTGGTGGTGAATGTACTTCATGATATTTTTGGACAGAGATCCTAGATGTACATCAAATGAATAATAAAAGGACAATTTAAATTAGCTTAATTAATTAATTTTAATTAATATTATTTTTTCCTGTACCCTACTTTCTCTACTGATATGAAGACTAGATACCTGAGATTTTTAAATCTACTCTTTAGGAATAATTTAAATAGCTCACATGCACATGTACTTATATACTAAGCACTGTTGAAAGAGCTGCACATGTGTCTTTTTCCTTATACAAGTTGAATATCCCTAATCTGAAAATGTTAAGTTCAAAATGCTTCAAACATTGAAAATTTTGGAGCACTGACATGAAGCCACAAATGTTAAGTTCCGTACCATGAAACTATTTCGTACATAAAAATATTTGAAATACTATATAAAATTACCTTTAGGTTATGTGTGTAAGATGTATGAGAAACACAATATATTTTGTGTTCAGACATGTCCCATCCCCAACATATCTCATTATATAGATGCAAATATTCCAAAATCCAAAACAGTCTGGCTCTAAACAATTCTAATGAATTATAGCTCATCCTGTAATAATCAAAGGAGGCAGGTACTGTCATATGTACCTTGTTTCATAGATGACCAAATAGACAAAAATAATTCAAGATAGCTGGCCCATGGTCATAGGCATAGATGACAGAATTGGTATTCGGACCCTAAGAGAGTCTGACTCCTACACTATACTGGCAGGATATATAGCCATGTGTTTTTATCCTCTGTGTGTGTACTATTAATATCTTCACTACTCTCACACACCTTTATGTCTGCTCTATTTATAATGAGTATGAAAGACAGGAGAAAGAGAGAAAATAAATAAGAGGGATGGTGGACACTTCTGAGTAACCGACAGAAGTTCAGACTGGTTGATATGCAGAGTTAAGTGTGAAGAATTGCAATAAATGAGGTTATGAGGGATCAGGAAAGTTGAAAAGAAAAGAGACATTTTGAGTCAGTTAAGCAATTTGGATTCAAAAAGAGCCAGTGGAGAGTTTAAGAAGGGAATTCTATGATGTCACTCTTTGTTCATTGCTGCCTAGTGCATGCTAGGCAAGTGCTCTATCACTGAGCTACATCCCTAGCCTTAGGGTGTTACTTCTGAAGAATGGAGAATGGACTGGAGGGTGGCAGACCTGAGGAAAGAAACCTGTTGTATTCATCCCAAAAGGAAGTGATGGTGACTTGTGGAGCCCAGATGAAAAGAGTGGTTGAAGATGGTGGAGAGTGAACAGTCAGAGATATGAAAGGGCTTCTGACAAAGGAGAAATGGCTTGAGAAAGATACAGGCTACTGAGATGGGTAAGGTAGATTTGTAGGGAGAAGATCCCAATGGGGAGGAGAACCATGCAGCTTAAGCTGAAACAGAAAGGAAATGAAAAATAGAAAGTACCAATAGGGAGAGAAGTGAGAATAAGTTGAAGGGCATGTCTCTATGAAATTAAATAATAGATATGGCAAAAATGCAGTGAGAGTCAAAAAACCAAAAGATGTCAGCAAGCTGGATGTTCGAATTTGTGATTTCAAAAATGAATCAGTCTGAGAGAATCCAGGATCTAAGCTGGAGGAAGATGAGTATTAACTATGGGAGAGGTAATCAGATCACACTACCTTAAAAAAAGATGATTCCTGCAGCTATGTATAGGGAGTGAGGCAATACTGAATTAAAGCAGCTAAAATGCTTAGTTACATAAATCAGGAATCAAGTATTTGAATTGTGGATCTGAAATAGGAGTATTCAAGCCCCAGTACTGCAAAACAAAAGACATTCTGATAAAAGTTATTAAAATCCATCTTTTCTTATTTTCTTGCATGTTTTTTGTATTCATGCAATAATTTTCAACATAGAGTAAAATCATATAATGCATTCTGGCATTTTGGTTTAATTTGTTTTAGTCTCTTTTTTGAATGTGTGTATACTTATACATGATTTCACCATTTACACCTCCTTTCTCATTTATTGCAACAACATGAATATTTTGTCTTCACAGCATCCTTTAGGATGACTGCATCATGTCATTTTCTTTCCTTTTAGTTAAAGTATATCGTTTCCATCTTTTCTGTTTTCTCTGTGCTTATTTATGCTTTGATCTCAAACACAGATGTGTATGGATATATAATAACACCAGTGCTATGGAAGGAGAGTTCCAAATTTGAATATTTATGTAGAGTAGATAATGAAAGTGGGAGTCATCTTGCATGTTTTGTTTTATTTTGATGGGGATTGACATTTTTAGAAAAATTTTTTCCCTATAATTTCAAAAAATCAAGAGAGTTTTACATAAGGATTATCTTGAAAAAAAGTGTTGGCCACTCTGTCAATATTAGAACCCGTGTCTACATAGTGTAATTGTCTGAAGTATTCAACTATAGGGCACACCATTTAGATGGGTATGTGCTCACTTTTTCATCAGCATGCCTTCCACTAGATGCTTCCAATGTTTATACTATTTCTGTGGGCACTGCATTTTGACACTTCATGTAAAGTAAAATAAAGGGTAAATGAATGAGTGTCTCTCTGTGGAAGTTGAAGCTGTCACTTCTTGACTAGCTACATGTGACTATCCAAGCTCTAAAATTCTTTTGGAATATCATTTCTTCTATTATTTAGCAGGGGAGAAAATTGAATATTAGCATTTATTAAGTCATATAGAATTAGAAATTTAAATTCAGTATCATATCACATAGAACATGCCAAAACAAAGTCTAAATGATCTAATTGCTTCATGTCCCCTATTTGTATTTCTGCTCCCTACTATTACATGGAAAATCAACAGCCAAATGCTTTATAGGTCTGTGTAGCTGTGTGAATTTGCTCACTTGTAGGCTAAATGCTGAAGAAAAATGGAATATGTTTGTACACTTATAGAATGAACTCTCTCCTTATACGAAACAGGCCTGATTTATTCTGTCAATGCAGATCTTTGTCTTCCTAGGAAGATTGTATGAAGAGATTAAAAGATCCATAACAAAATGTCTCGGGTATATCCAGGACCTTAATTTGGGAGTCCTTGCTGTGTTCTTGCATGGGGAGAGGAAATGTTTCTCTCTTACTTTCTAAGCCACCCATGCCTCCGCCATACATTATCCTGCTATACTAAAATAAATCCTTGCTAAAACTTAAAAAAGAAAGACCATAATTTGATCATAGCAAAATTTTTCATTTTCTTTGTAGGTGAAAGTAAATAATGATTTTAATTATGAATTTTACAACAGTAGCTGGTCCTATGTAAAACACACATCGTCAGAACACACATCATCTAGTAGGAGCAAGTCCTTCTTTAGATCTTCATCATCTTCTTCACACAGTTATACGTCAAATATCAATGAAAGCTATAGGAAAAAGGTTGGTATGAAACATCAGCTAACTTTCACATTTTACTAGTTTAACTATCGCTAACATTAACACTAGTGCATTTACCAAAGGATCAGCTTTCCTATTTAAATGAAGATAAAAGTATTCATATTGAGAAATAATACAATATATTTCTTTAAAGGTACAATTTTGACTTGTTAATTCTTTTTGACAATATATTTCTACTTTAGTTTTCTCACTGAAGCATTTCATATTAGAAAGTCTTAAAAAATAGTATCTTGAATTCTTCTGTTTTTAAAGTATACTACATTTCTCACTCGGAATTAATGATACTATTTTAAGTGTGACATACAGTGCAAAAAAATCCAATGAAGGCTTATATGTGCCTCCTAATGCTAATGCTAGTGTCTTTTTAGAAGATACAGAAAGCTAAAAGATTTTAACACCTTATTTGTTACTTTTGAGATGTCAGAATTTTCATTTGAGTAATTTGACTTATTCTAAAATTCTTTGTTATTTTGAAATACCAATACTTTCATATTGGGAAACCTGACCAGTTGAGATAGATTGCAATAATTGATATATACTTACTAAATTACGATCTGCCCATTTCATCTTATTCTGAAAGTTAGTAGTATGGCTAATAAATCATGCAAGAGATATATAAAGAATACTGATTTTATTTGTTTTACAGCTAGGAACTGATTGTGGAAATATGAGTTGTCAATATATTTATCATTTCTATATTATATTGTTCACATTGTGGTGATTTGTTGTAAGGTTGGTCTGTCACGAGTGTCATTAAAAGATGCTTAGGAAGTATTTAAAGACCCATTATAGTAGTTTAACTTATAAATATCCCGGTAGGGGAGATAAATTATTCAGTTACCTTGCCTGTAAGTCATGGTCAAAAGATGGACCTTAGGGACAAATTATTTTATATAATTATTTGTAAGACTGTTTAACAGTTGATGACATTGATTCTGATTTTTCTAGTTGACGAAGGCATAGCAACTATGGGGTTTTAGAGTGGATATATGAAAGAAATTACTATTGTATCACTCAGACATTATTCTATTTGGGACTCCAAAGTTCTATGGAAACACCTCATCATGCATAAAAAAAATGTCAGGTTGATGGGAGATGGTGATTAATGCAGAAATGGGATAAAGAACTATTTTCATTATCTTTTTGTCTTTCACCTAAATCTACTTTTACTCTTCTCTCTGCAGAGTTACAAATTGTTGGTTGTTCAGAATGCGGTTGAAGTGGCTCAATTCATTAACAACAATCCAGAATTTTTACAACTTGCTGAACCATTCTGGAAGGAACTCCTCCATCTTCCTTCTCTATATGACTACAGTGCCTACCGAAGATTAATCGACCAGTATGGAACACATTATCTGCAGTCTGGTTCCTTAGGAGGAGAATACAGAGTTCTATTTTATGTGGACTCAGGAAAAATCAAACAAAGTGGTACAGCATTAAAACATTTTATCTAAAAATGTTCAAGTAATTATAAGGGGGAAATAACACATAGGTAACTGAAATTCTTGAGCTTTAAAATTTTATAGAGATTTATACGGCAAAGAAGTCCAAAATTGCAAGAATTCATTACCTGGCTTAAGAAATGTCTGCCTACTTTTGAATAATATCTTGAATTAAACCATTATTATTATTGGTTGTCTCCAAGGTTATTGGATTTTTAAATTCCTTGTAATCTTTCCGATTTTTCAGATTAAATAATATTTCTTAAGGAAAACTAAATGAGTTTATTGATATGGTAGAAATCAAAATATTTTAAAGACTTACTCTGTTTATCTCTGTTCTTATCACTCAGAATTACTTTAAAAATATCTGCTCTGGATATCATCAATTTTCTTATTATCTAATATTTGTAACAAATGATTAAATTTATTGGCTGTCTTCCTCAGGACTGGAGAGTTACATTGATACCCCGAATCCTCAATGTCACCCAGTGAGAAGGGCACTCTGATCTCTTTCCCAAAGATTGGGAGATACTCAGTGCTCTCATGAGACTCTTCCAAAGCCCACAGGTTGTAAGGAAGGTGTTTAAATCCAGTCCTAATTTTCTTCACAGTCAGCTGAATATTTTCCCTATGCTGTGTTGCTGCTGATTTTTGCTAGAATCAGAATATGCCATCATATCAATACTTTGTGGATTTCACATCTGTTCAGATGTTCAATTGGATATCTCAAAGACCTTTTGGACCTTGATAACCAAGTCAAACATTATTCTCCTTCTTCTTTGTCCTGTAGCTGGTGCTCATACTTCCTTCTTCATTCTAACTCATCTCTTTAGGATCTTGCCCTTCAGCAAAGAGTCTGTTAAATCCTTGAAGAAGAGTAAGACTTCTTTGCATGAGATGCAAAAAAGGTATTACAGCTTTTCTTGAGGGTGAACTATAATATTTTTCTGTTTCCACATTGGGTTATTGTTCTTTTTTTTTTTTTTTTTTGCATTTCTCTGCCAGATAAAATTTAACTAGAATTTGAACTTTTTTTAATTTCACAGATTGAAAATCAGTGCATAAACACAGGTTTTTGTAGCAAAGACAGGCATTATTTCTTCAAAAAATTAATCTAGCACATGGTTTGTTCTAAACTCAGTTTCATTCCCTTGCCCGCATTTTAATACTATTTAAAACAAATGGAAAATATTTTTAAAAAACTCAAATTGGAAAAAATTATTTTTTGAGTAAAAATTTTACTATTGAGCACTTCATGTTTTTCCTAAAGTTCTAATTTAAATATAATCAGAACATCTGGGATATTACTTATGCCCCTAATTGTTCTTAGGAAATATTGATGCTATTCTAATATAGTTACAAAATTACATGAGAAAATATATTTTTATACTTTGTTTTTTATTTTTTACAGTGCTGGAGATTGAGCCCATGGTCTTGTGCATGCTAGGCACACTTTCTGTCACTGAGTATACCATTCTTTATTCTATCTTATTTAAGAAAATGCACTGACAAGCACCTATTAGGTAATGAGAAATTACCATTTTCTAAGGTTATGTGTCATGGGAAGGAGATGTTAGGAACTACAGATGTTAATGATGGAAAGACTGAGTCAGTAGGACTAGGTTTTAGGAATTAATTAGGATAGAATTGATAAATATAAAAGTATGGTGGCTTCCAGCCCACCTACTTGGAGATTCCAAAAGCAGGATTCTAATTTTAATTAATCAATTCTATTTATTTTAGTCTAAGAAGCTGACCTAATGGGTAAAAGATATTCTTTTGATTTCTACTCCCTCTAATGTTTCATGTGGAAATCACTCCTGCCTTCTCCCCTCTCTGGCCAAAGCTAATAGGTAGAACATAATAAAAGCTAAAAGTCTTTTTTTCTGAACTTTGACCTTTTAGAGCACTTGATAATTTACATATTGTGTCACTCTTCTTTAAACAGCTACAATAGCACCCCACCCTCAAAACTGGCTGCATCCCAAAGGAGGTCTTCAGTGATTTCAAAAATTAAACACTACCTCTCTGCATTTTCCCTTCCAGATTTTGGTTCGGTAGAGGAGAAGCAATGTACTGCTTCAGATTTCCATTTTCTCTTCACATCATCAGAGCACAAATGCAAGGAACTGGAAGATGCTTTAAAGTCTGACTCAGGTAAATTAGAAGAGCAATCTGCATTACAAGAGTAATCTCTATCTCACTTATGGTGAATTCTTGGTCTCTAGGAGCTTTCAAAGTGTTAGCAAGTGTTCTGCTTTGTGTGTTTTATCTAGTTTATGTTTTGGCTTGGTTTTTGAGAAAGTATCTCCCAAAGTTGCCCAGGCTGACCTTGAACCCCAGGGCTCAATCTGTCCTTTTGCCTCAGTCTATCAAGTAGCTGGATGTACAAGTGGGCATCACTGCACTTGACTTATTTTATATTTTTGTCTCTGTTCTCTCATATGTCATTACAGTAAGAATCCTGCAGGTTGGGGAGTTCAACTCTCTCTCTCTCTTTTTTTTATTATTCATTTATTCACATGTGCATATATTGTGTCATTTCTTCCCCCTGCCTCCCTCTCCCCCCATCCCCCTTTTCACCCTTGCCCCCAGGCAGAACCTGTTCTGCTCTTATCTCTAATTTTGTTGAAGAAAAGCCACAAGCATAATAAGGAAGACAAAGCGTTTTTGCGAGTTGAGATAAGGATAGCTATACAGAGAGATTCCTAGCATTGCTTCCATGTACAAATGTGTTACAACCCAAGTTGATTCATCTCTAACTGATCTTTACACTGGTTCCTGATCCCCTTCTCATGTTAACTTCTTTCGCTTTAAGGTTTCTGTATTAGTTCCTCTGGAGTGGGGACATCGACCGCTTTCATGTTTTGGGTTTTCTACCTATTCCTATATCTCCCTTATGTGCTCTCCTCTTGTCATGTGATCCAAGTCCAATCACATTGCTGTATTTGCCCTAGATCTAAAGTTCACATATGAGGGAGAACATACGATTTTTGGTCTTCTGAGCCTGGATAACCTCACTCAGAATGATGTTCTCCAGTTCCATCCATTTACTTGCGAATGATAAGATTTCATTCTCCTTCATGGCTGAGTAGAATTCCATTGTGTACAAGTACCACATTTTCTTAATCCATTCATCAGTGGTGGGGCATCTTGGCTGTTTCCATAACTTGGCTATTGTGAATAGTGCTGCAATAAACATGGGTGTGCAGGTGCCTCTGGAGTAACCTGTGTCACAGTCTTTTGGGTATATCCCCAGGAGTGGGATTACTAGATCATATGGCATATGTTTAGATTTTTAAGAAGCCTCCACATTTTTTTCCAGAGTGGTTGCACCGGCTTGCATTCCCACCAGCAGTGGATTAGGGTTCCTTTTTCTCCACATCCTTGCCAACACATGTTGGTGGTGGTGTTTTTGATGATGGCTATTCTAAAGGGTGAGATGGAGTCTTAGTGTGGTTTTGACTTGCATTTCCTTTATGGCTAGAGATGGTGAGCATTTTTTCATGTGCTTTTTTGGCCATTTGAATTTCTTCTTTTGAGAAAGTTCTGTTTGGTTCAGTTGCCCATTTCTTAATTGGTTCATTGATTTTAGGAGAGTTCAGTTTCTTAAGTTCCCTGTATATTGTGGTTATCAGTCCTTTGTCTGATGTATAGTTGGCAAATATTTTCTCCCACTCTGTGAGTGCTCTCTTCAGTTTAGAGACCATTTCTTTTGCTGTGCAGAAGATTTTTAATTTTATGAAGTCCCATTTGTCCATCCTTTCTCTTAGTTGATGAGCTGCTGAGGTTCTATTGAGGAAGTCCTTGCCTATACTTATTAGTTCCAGAGTGTTTCCTGCTCCTTCCTGTACTAACTTCAGAGCTTAGGGTCTGATATTAAGGTCCTTGATCCATTTGGAGTTGATACTAGTACAGGGTGATAGACATGGATCTAGTTTCAGTTTTTTGCAGTTGGATAACCACTTTTCCCAGCAACATTTGTTGAAGAGGCTGTCTTTTCTCCATCGTATATTTGTGGCACCTTTGTCAAAAATGAGGTGGGCATAGTTGTGTGGATTCATATCTGGGTCCTCTATTCTGTTCCACTGGTCTTCATGTCTGTTTTGTGCCAGTACCATGCTGTTTTTTTAAACTCTCTTTTGTATTGTGAATACCTTCTTAGTGTATTACCACCTTCCTTTAGTGCACAAAAGTGAAAATATCAGTAGAAAGTTTAGTTATATTCTGTGAAAAGAACACTTGGTGCATTTAAGGCTTTTGCTGAGTGAGGGTAAGGAAGGTATTATGTTAATCTTTGTGTGATTGAAGTGGAAACTGGAAAGGTTAGCCGATCTAGACTCCAGGTACCATGTTACAGAGTTTGGATTTCATTCCGATGGCAATTGGGTGGCATGAAAAGATTTAATATGTGGAATAATTAAGTGAAAGGTTATATAGAAAAAATTGTAGAGAAAGAAGAGAGGTGGAGAAGGGATCGTCTGTTAAGGTAAGAAACAGAGGAGATGGAATGTAATGAAGGAGAGAAGTCAATAGTGAAATGCTACAAAGAAGTCAAGTAAGATAATGACTGAAAAATGTTTGTTGCATTTGATTTACTTGCCATAAAAGGAAGAGATTTTGTTGCATGGTAAGAATGGAAATGAGACTTTAGTGTACTCGGGCAAGGTCATGAACTGGGCATTATTAGAGTTTAAGTCCTCTTAGAGTGATAGCAGAAACTGGGGTGAAGACTGATGTAGGTGCCACGGTGGTCAGTGGGGAAGCAGGCATTCTTGGGATATTGTAGATGACTGCAAGATGGAGGAAATCAGAGTAGTAAAGCCAGGTTTATGTATCCATTCACTTACTTCCTTCATCAACTACTTATGGAGTCTACAGTTTGTGCCATGAATTATTCTGGCACCCAGGATGTAACAATGAACATGCCAGAGAAAGTCCTGATCATCATGAAATTGACATGACAAAGGAGAAGAAACTTTTGAATTAAAGGGAAAATAATATTTTGGACACAGGAATTGGAAATAGAAATTTGACAACAGTAGTCTGCTGTTTTTGCAATTCAAAGCTGCTCACTTGTTTCATTTTGTGTTTAATATACACGTAGCACTTACCACGTGTCCAGTACAATTCTAAGTGATTTATAAAAACTAGCCAATATGCTCCTCCTACGTAAGAGTCATGTATTACTCTATTCCCATTTTACAGACAGGGACACTAAGGCACAACAGGTTGCCCAAGATCCAGCTAGTAAGCATCAGACATGAGATGCAAATGTATGAAATCTGACTTCACAATCTGGGCTCTTCACTGCTGCATTTCCTTATCTAGAGGAAAAGGGTTAGCTCAAGCAGAGGACTCATTGGAGTGTGGAGAGGGAGGCTACAGGCTTAAAAATAACATATACACTGATTTCTTAGAATCTGTAGTTTTTCGATAGGTATGCCAGTTAAGGCAATGTTTCTCCAACTTTAGTATGCATGAGGATCACCTGGGGAAGCCTGTTAAAATGTTGATTCCTGGCTTATTTTCTCACATGTTCTTGCTTAGGTCTTGGTTGGGGCTCAGAAATCTGCAGGCAAACCATATGGTTGTGATTCATTAGCTCAGGGCCTGGTCTGTGTGGTACACTGCATTAAAAGGGTGACTATTTGCATATCAAAAACATAACTAACAATGAAGACAAGAAACCACTCAGGTAATTTATTAAAAATGTCAAGCTTTCATAATTTCTCATTATAAAAATGCAATGTGCTCATTTTGTGAAATTGAAAAATTTGAACAGTTACAAGACAGGAAATGGAAATCACTCAAAATTTGATCTGTAAGATTAGGAATTTCTAGTCATGACCTGTGTAAGAACCAATTATAAATGGAGATAAAAATATTTCTGAAATTATTAGGCACAAAAAATGGAAAAAAGAATTCAATTAGCATTAAACTTTCAGAACACTTTTCAGGTGTCAGGTAATGTATTCCTGTTAATTAATAGCTCTTTTTTTGGTTTTGTTTTATTCATATACCAGATACAAGACTGTTTTCTCTCCAATATTTTATTACAAAAATTTTCAAACTTACAGAAAAGCTGGAAGAACATAGTAATTAATAGCTATATACCCATCTCCTATATATAACAACTATTATTTTGATATTTTGCTATATGTATCTACATATAACTTTTTTAATATTGACTGATTATATAGCAATATACAAATATCATATACTTAAAGTACTTACAGCCCAGTGCCAGTGGCTCACACTTGGGAGGCAGAGATCAGGAGAATCGAATCGGGGTTTGAAGCTAGCCTGGGCAAATAGTTTGTGAGACCCATCTCAAGAAAACCCATCACAAAAAAGGGATGGTGGAGTGAATCAAGGTGTAGGCCCTGAGTTCAAACCCCAGTACCACAAAAAAAAAAAGATGAAATGCTTATATAGTATTTGCTAAACCATTTAAAAGTAAATTTCAGACATCATGATACTTCATCTTTAAATTATGCATGTATCTTGTAAGGAGGACCTTCTGCAAAATGTGATACTTGTATTACACCAAGAATCTTACTTTTTAGAAGTGGTTTTTTTAGGTTCATAGCACAATTGAGAGAAAAATACAGAGATTTGCCATATGCTCCCTGCCTCCTTCATACACAAAGCATCCTTCACTATCCATATCCCCACCAGAGTGGAACATTTATTAAAATTGATTAACCTATATCACTCAACCCCAGTTTACATTGGGATTTGCTTGTAGTGTTGCACATTATACAGGTTTTAACAAATATCTACCATTGCAGTGTTCTACAGAATAGTTTCAGTGCCCTAAAAATCCTCTGTGCTCTGCCCCTTCATACCCCTCCCCCCAACCCATCACCACTCATCCTTTTATTGTCTCCATGACTTTGCTTTTCTCAAAATGCCATACTATTTGATGGAGTTTTAAAAATACATGACAGACTTCACTTGTATATTCTCATTTTCATTTTATTTGTGCACTCTGACTTATTTTACTTATTTTCTCCTGTGTAGGAACCCAGAGCAATGTGATACGAGGAGACCCATGGGTCAGAGGAGGGGGATCGGGCTTCATAGCTGGGCTTCAGTTTCCTAGAGCTGGACAATCCTGCTGGAAACAAAAGGCGATATTCTGCTTGGGCAGACTCTGTGACTAATCTTCCTCAAGTCATAAAACAAAAGGTATGTGATGCTCTGTTTAAAGCAGTAGGAAGCAATCATGTTTATTTTCATTGGGAAAATGTGATTAAATCAAGGTGGTTAAACAGAGCTGGCTATAATTAGCATTTTCTGAATCCCATTTATGTTTTTTATAGTAAAATGAATGCATACATAATAGTACGAAACAGGACGTGCATTATTGAGTATGTACACATTTCACTTGTCTTATAAATCCTAGGAGAACTAATGAAGAATTAATGCATTTTTAACTTGTGACCTAAATTTAATTGCATTTTCTTTGGTTACTAATTCAGAAAAGTTACAGATTTTTACAAGAGGAAGGCATGTAGACTTTTCTGTTGTTTCATCTGTCAGATCACCAGTGAGAGGAGGAGGGGGAAGGGAAAGGGTGATGGGAGATGAATAAAACAAACAATGAGCTATGCAAAATGACACAACAAAGATGAAAGGGCTTATGGAAAAACGGGGTTTGAGAGACAACATTCAAAAACATCAGCTGCTCCAGGTGTGATGGGGCATACCTGTAATTTCAGTATTTGCAAGGCAGAGATAGGAGGATAACAAGCTCAAGGCCAGCCTGAGCTACATGGGAAGTTTAAGGCCAGTTAAGTTTCACAGTGAGTTTGTGTCTCAAATAACAACAACTAAAAAAAAAAAAAAAAAAAAAGAAGAAAGAAAAGACAGTTGTGATGCTTATTTGCAAAAAGGTAGACTGATAAAAACAGTAGCATGGTTTTATTCATGTTAAATTATAAGAAATGCATTCATTGGAAAATAAATGTGGCATATTATCTAGAAAAAGGCCTGAAGCTTGCTGGATGCTGAAAGGGTTACAGCTAGTGAGTTAACATGAAGTGGAAGGGATCAGAAATCTGATGGATAGTTGTAACACCAGATGGATTGGTGTAGTTTATAAAATAAGCAGTGAACTGAAGTAGATCTTTGAGGCATATATGTGCATGTGTTTTTGTGTCTTCCTGTGTGGATTGGTTTGGCTTCATGAAGTTTTCTATGGTCAGCATGTGTTTCTTGTAGATAAATTTTACATAAGAAAATGCAAAATTTGTGATATGCTCATGTTGTTCCCTAATATGTCAATCTCCATGAGACAAATCTACATTTTCAAAACAAACGTTATAGCAGAACTGATTTTATGATCTATTCCCTGCACGGGAGTTGAACAGTGTCCCTGGCAAAGCCTAACTTTAACAATTAAGAGACTTATTTGCATTTTATATACTGAAAACCCAAAACCCAAACCAAAACAAAACTGAACTAGCTTATCAAGTACCCTCTTACCATTGCACTGCACTTGAATCCATATAAGCATGAATGGAGGCTGAGTTTTTCCTGGAAACTTTTTTTTTTGGTGGGCTGGTGTTTGAACACAGGGCTTTGCGCTTGCAAAGGAGATGCTCTACTGCTTGAGCTACATCTGTAGTCCATTTTTCTCTGTTTATCTTGGAAATGGGGGATCTTACAAACTATTTGCCTACGTTGGCAAATAGCTGGATTACAAGCATGTAATCCTACAACAACAGCCTTGTTGGTGTTGTTTGAAAAATGGTCTTACTATGTAGCTCAGGCTGGCCTGGATGTCATGATCCTCCTGTGTCAGCCTCTAAGTCCTGGGATTACAGCCATGAAGCACCACAAGGGACATTCCTGGAAACTCTTATCTTAAGGTGCTATCATTAAGATTCAAAATGGCCTACATTCTCTAGAAATCCAAAATTGTTGATAGGGAGGAAACAAAGCTTCCTTCATAGACTCAATTATATACTTTCTTAAACAGGACTGTAAACTACCATAATGCCAATTTATTAGCTGGGCAAGAAAACATCAGAAAAGGATAGACAATTTATGGCCAACCTACTCAGAAGGGGCTGGCTCCCAAGAGTGGATGATGCATGTCTCTTTCCAGTTCTGTGCTTAGTGACATTATGGTGGCAGCCTGAAATTGGCCTTGATGACAGTACACTGCAGAAATTGGCAGTGTTACGAAACAGAGTCTTCTATTTGCTCCTGGGAGAGCACATCTGTGATTTCAAGGTTGCTTTTCTTCTGAAATATCCAGCATAGAGTAATAATATCTGCCTGTGTTAAATTTCTCCAGGACAGAGTCCAGGGTCTCCACTGAAAATATGTTAACTCTCTCAGAGTCAGAAAATTTATTCTGAGTTTAAAAGCACTTGCTTCTTTGTGTAATTTAAGTGCATTTCCTTTTTTCTTCTGTCCTCCACAAGGATGATATTATCTTCAAAATAATCTTCCATTAACTAAAAAAACAAATGTTGTGGGTTTTTTGTTGCTTTTTAATTTTATTCATGTACACAAGATAGGAAAAATATTCCTCCTGTATCTAATTTTCCCTAGGTCTTTGTTGATTTTGTTACAAAGACAGTGAATTGCTTTCTTTTTTTATTCAACCAAGAAACAATTGTACATTGGTACCCTCTTATCTACAGTTTCAGATCAACTGTGGCTGAAAATATTGAATGGAAAATTCCAGAAATAAATAATTCATAAGTTTAAAATAACTTTTATTATAGTTGTCCTATTTATTATAATTGCTTTGTTTTATTATTATTGATTTTAATCTCTTACTGTGCCTAATTCATAAATAAAACTTTTTAATATATATATATATAGAGAAAAAAAGCCATATTATATATAGGATTTGGTACTGTGACTTCTGGCTTCCACTTGGGAGGGGTCCTGGGACAATCCCCATCATGGACTGGGTGCGGGGTACTGTAATAAACATAAGAGTGGCTTTTGATTTTGTTCCAATGGGAATTGTGCCTACATGTGAAAAGAAACATTCTCATCTAACTCTCTGAGCACTACCACGTTTTTCTTTACTTGTGTAGCTGACACCTTTATATGAGCTGGTAAAGGAAGTACCTTGTGCCTCTGTGAAAAGATTGTACCTGAAACGGGCTCTTGAGGAGTATCTGGATGAATTTGACCCCTGCCATTGCCGGCCTTGCCAAAACGGTGGCGTGGCCACTGTTGGGAGGACTCAGTGTCAGTGCCATTGCAAACCGTACACATTTGGTGTTGCATGTGAGCAAGGAGTCCTTGTAGGGAACCAAGCAGGTCAGTGTGCTGAATTTTCTTAAGTCATGATGGACACATTGGGGCCTGGCCCCTGAAATGTGCTACTTTGCCAGTGAAGGAATAAAGTTTCATTTGAACTTAAAATTTCTTTCCCTTTTCCATCTTCATATTATCTCTACTACAGTTAAGTCTTCTTGCTGTCTTTCTTTTTACACATCTGAATTAATACCTCCACTGTGGCTTCCGTTCCCCATTCTCTGTTAGAATAAAATTCGGTTTAAATATCTTCCATCTTTTCATATTTACCTCAATAAGTTTTTGTTATAACAGAGGTTTATGGAGCTTGTGTTTGTATCCCCTTTAAGACAGCAAGATCTCTGAAACATTTTGACTATTTTGCATTACATACCATAACCATTCATAAACATTTGTTGAACATATGTCATGTGCTCAACAGTACACACGATGTGTCAAGTACAGAGCTATGTGTAGTTGACTTTGTGAGTAGACAATGTATGACTACAATGTATACATATTTGTGCTTATGCTTACATGTACTTATATGTCTCCTCTAGAAAGCTCACTCTTTAAGGTCAGGGCTATTTGATTCCTGTTTTTATTCCCAGAGCCCAACATATGGCTTGATTCATAAAGGTCACTAAATAAATGTTTGCTCAATGAATAAATACATTACTGAATGATGATTGCTTATAGATAGATAACTATCCTTGCCCCAAATTTCTGCTTTTGGCCTGTTCTAGTACATTGAAATTCTATCACTGTGATTCATGCTTTGGATTTTCATCTTTGCATTACATATGTTAGTGAAATTCTTGCAATACTATCTTAAATATGTTGATTATTTGATAACTGTTTCAAAGTACATTCATGTACATTATATAAGTTATTTACTTCTCATGACAGTGAACCAATGTAAGCAATCCAATGCATATGCTTGCATTTCCAGTTGTCTGTTAAAATGGAAGCACTAGCCCTGCTGGTAGGACTGGGGTAGCAATCACAGCATATTAAACTGTTATTACCCCTGACTAATATACTTAGGGTACTACTTTATTAATCAGTTCTAATTGTGTAAATGTAAGGAAAGTCTTGGGAAATGTGCAAATTTTAGTTTTAGTATGTGTGACACTGAGCAGTGGATATGGAGTGAAAGAAAGAGGAATGTGGTCACGTACAGCAGAAGTACTCAAGGAGCAGTAACTATACCCATGTACTGACAGGTACAATGCTTTGGGAGACTGATTACTGAGGTCACTGCCTTACTAGGAAAGCAAGGCTCTTAGAATATGATACAAGTTCCCTCTGCCTTCTGCAAGGTATAGGATCAGGGAAAATAACAGAACTGTGAATCTTAAATAGGTTCTGAGGTAGAAAGTGGCCAGGGTCGATGAGTACATTGAAGGAGCATGCTGAATGGAGGTAAAACTGGAAGGAGGTAAAGCAGTTCTTCTACTTACGCATTTCTTCATTTTGTATGGTGCCAGTCTGGGATGCCTGAGATTTGAAGACTGAGAGGACCCAGTAGTTTATGTTGCCTTCATGCCAAGACAATGCTTTAGCTATAGGAACCAGTTGCCTTACTGAGAGACTGTGCGTTGAGGAAAGAGTCTGAATTCATACAGCAGACAGAGTTGTCCTTGGCTCTTGCCATTACATCACTGAGCATGGCATTTAACCACTTTGTCTTAGATTCTAAGACAAAAATCTATTAAGTGGAACTGGTAATACCTCCTGCTCACATTGGTTCATTGTCATGGGAAATAAATAACTTATACAGTGTACATGAATGTGCTTTGAAACAGTTGTAAAATAATCAACACATTTAAGATAGTATTGCAAGAATTTCACTCATGCAGCCTTAATACTGACATTCCAAGTTAGGGAGTAGAGCCGTTCTGGCTGTTGAAGAAAACTTCAGTAAACAGAGTAAAGGCAATCAGTTCCCAGAATTGTCTGTTCCTTCCCTGTAAACTCTAATCTCTGAAGTCTTCCGTCCTAGAATTTACTGAAGACCCTTTCTCTTATCTTATAGGAGGGTTTGATGGAAGTTGGAGTTGCTGGTCCTCTTGGGGTCCTTGTGTTCAGGGGAAGAAAACAAGGAGCCGAGAGTGTAATAACCCACCTCCCAGTGGGGGAGGAAAGGCCTGCGTTGGAGAAAAAATGGAAAGCAGGCAATGTGATGATGAGGAGCTGGAGCATTTGCGGTAATGAAGACTAGAGCTCTTAGATAGAGCACAGTGCCCTTTGCAATAAGCATGGAGTACATTATGGCTGCTATAGAACGATCTATAAATTGAATGTTGATTTTTTTGATCCAATTTATTTTTATTTACTTAAAAGTTTTTATTTGTATAAATTAATTGAATAAAGGGTGATATTTACGACATTCATATAATGCTCTTTGATCACATTTACCCCTTCTGTATTACCCTTTCTTAACTGCCCTTCCTCCTCTGCCTTCCTATTTAACAGTTTTTGGTGGCTTTCATTGTGCTATTTTCATACATATATAAAAATAATGTACTATAATAATACTCACACTCTGCCTCCCTCTTTTCTTTCCTCCACCTGTTGTTCCCTCCACCCAAAAGAAAAACAGTTCTACTTTTACAATCATGTCATATTCAGTGACTGCTTTGCCCTTACCACTGGAGCCAGCAAAGGAAGGAGACACATGGTAGCCAACTTGTTCTTCTGTGCTTCTGTTTTTCCTGATGCCAGTGTTACCCAGGGATGGATAACTAAGAACAGCTCAGCTGAGGGCATCTGAGAAGCAGCTTTGGCATCAAGCAGGTCTGCCACCTTCTTGCTGTGTGATCTTGGGCAAGTTCCTTGCCATACTCCTAAAAGTAGTATAATAGAAGTAGAATAATAATAATAATAAGATGCCAGTTATAAGACATTGAAAGAAATAAGTGAGGTTAAGCACACAAAGTGATTAGATTAGTACAATGCCTAACACCATAGTAAGCATTTTGAGAAATGTATATAATGTAATAACTTTAAAAATATACTACTTTCTCTTATTTACTTATTCTCTAGGTTAAGCACAAAGTCAGATGCTTGAGATGTATAATATTGTGACTGATGGCCCGGTGGCCATCTGGCACTAATTTCACATTTGCAAGGACCTTACAAAAGCTATCAAAAAGTGCTTAGTTGGTCAAATCATACTCTGGGTCAGAAATATTTATGCTATGTCCCATTGTCTTACATTGTACTTATTAACCACTTCATATTAGAAGCTTGGCAGAAAGTTCAGTAGGATAACTTGAAGGTCATGTGAGGAAAAGATGCAAGGTGCTTGGGTATGTGGTAGAAGGTTAGAGAGAGGGATGCCTTGCTCCTTGGTCTTCTATCCCTTGTAATCTGACAATGACCAATATCGCTTGACTAAGGGACACGTAATTTGGGAGGATGAGATTCTGAGAGGATTCCTTCCTAAGCCTATGAAAACTTCCTTTCATCCAAGAATATGATACCAGCTATATAAATTTCAGAAAAAATGTAGACACTTTGACTCCCTATTCTTCCCTATTGCCTCATAAGAAGTGGAAAGAGCCCAATTGCCTGGACATGAAGCTAGCCCTGGTATTTATTATTCAGAACCTTGGACAAATTATTCAAGCTATCTGTGCCTTCGTCTCATAGTGTTGCTATAAGTATGAATTGAGCTAATGCACTTGTGCAAAACAACTGCTTGTCACATCGTAAATGCTTGAGAAGAGGTAGTTATTATAATTTTGTGTCACTCTCTCTTGGGATCACCAACTCTGATTACTTTATTTTCAATACAGAATTAATTCTGTGTTAAAGGAATACCAAAACTCAACAGCAAGAGAAAAAGTAGGTGTTGAGACAGGTGAACTCTAGAAACCATATAATGTAGGTGTGTTGCCAAAGACTTTATTGTTCTTTTTCGCTGTTTGTTTTTCATACCACTGATTTTATAGCTGTTTAAATCACTGTCTTTTGGTAGGTTAAGTTTATGTTTGAGTTTTCTACCACAGGATGTGATCACATACTTGATTTTGAGAATGATAAAAACATAACATCAATATACTTATGCTTTCTATTTACATACCTTCAGATGCAAAGAAAAATTCAATGTAGTACAAAGTATTTGTTAAACTGTGGAACCAATCACCTTTTTATTTCTCTTTCAGATTACTTGAACCACATTGCTTTCCATTGTCTTTGACTCCAAAAGAATTTTGTTCATCACCTCCTGCCTTGAAAGATGGATTTTTTCAAGTTAGTTATAAAAGATATTTTGTACATTTATAATATTCCAAATTCTACATGTTTACTTGACCATAATGTATTCCTTCTTCCATGGTGAAATAGTATGAAAATATTAATAATATTCAAATATTATGTGTATTTTAGTTCTCATGGTAAAGGTTTTAGATTGTGACTTTTCTTTTTTGGCCCAAGGGGATTCAAATTTTGTAGAAGGCAGTGTGCTTTCTACGGTATGGGAAATCAGTGTGGCCACCCACCGAATTAGAAGAACTTTCCTTATTCTTGTCATTGAAAAAAATCTTTTTATAAAAATAAATGTGGGCTTGTGATGAAGTACTGGTTTTATTTCAGGAGTCAATAAATAAGACATTTAGCTAGTGTCTGATGAGATATAGTTAATTATACTTTTGGGAAATTTTTAGAAAGGGATGCTAGTTACCTGCCATTTGCCATTGTAAGGACTTTACTTGAATTTGGGGCTACCTTAGATGGTGCTATTCTTAGTCTTTCTTATGATGAGTCCTTGGCTCCAAATCCCAGTGAAGCATCTTCATGGCTCAGGTAGAAGATAGTGTGATACTGTTCATCATGATGCTTCAATGCTGCCAGCTTTACTTTCTTCATGAAGGATTTTCCTTCTCAAATTCTGTGACCTTGAATATATAATCACTGAGAGTTTGCTAAAGTTTCTCCAAATGTAGTACTGTTGAGGAAAGGAAGAAGAAGAAGAAAAGGGAGAGGGAGAGGGAGAGAGAGGAAGAGAGAAAGAAAGGGAACATGAATCATAGGAACCTAGCTTTTCTAATGTTCATGCTATCCCACTAGTTACCATGATCCATATGGTCCATGGAGTTCCTGAATGAAAAATGCTCAGAAAATAAGGCCAAGAAAACTCATACACCTTAGCAAACCATGAAGCTATTGTTACCCCAGTGTATGGGGTACCCTTTTAGAAGCCAGGGTTTCCAAACAGTGCCCCACAGACTGAATTCATAGACAGCAGCTCACAGAGCTTAAAAATAGAGTTTGCTATCTGTCCACTCTTTTCTAATTCAGTAGGATTGGGGTATAGCCTGGGAGTCTATTTTTAATTGCTACAAGTGATTCTAATATACAGCCAAGTTTGGAGAGTGTTAAGTTAAACTTTCCCATATAGAAGTTTCACTTACAAGGTAGAAGAAGGTATAGAAGCTAGAATCAAAGATGGACATGTGACCTTCCCTATTTTCTTAAAGCTTTACTTTAGTTTGGGCCTCCTATTTCCTACTGACTGCTATGATGGAGCCAGACTGAGCTAGGAGTAGTAAGACTGGCACTGAGAAGGAGACACCAGAAAATTTTGCTGTAATTCCTATGGCAGAGTTGATGTAGGTACCAGCTCCAAGTCCCTCCAACTTGCCCCCACAAGGCCTGAGTTTCATCAGTAAACCACTAGGTAGCAGAGAATTAGAAGGTGAGGAAAAAAACCAAGAGGGACCCCAAAAGATCACAATTATTCCCTCACAAGTTCATACTTTAACTTCTTTGCTTCACCATGAAAGCTTAACTCCTGGCATTAAGGGTTAATGCAAAGTCCTTGAATCTGATCCACTCACAGCAATATTTCCATTCTTATAGAGTGGAGTAAGAACATGGGATGGGAGAAGACCAACATTATGTTCCCTTAAAAGGTCATCCATGAGCAATGTAAACTGTCATGAAGGTGTTGACAGGATTTAAGTATTTCTGTATGCTTATGCTGGCATTTATTATGCAACACAATGAAAAGCAAATAATGCCTTTATATAAAGAATTGATGGACAAAGACACTTCCAAGACATATGGTAATCTACTTTTTCCTAAAAGTGTACAGGAAAGAAGTTGCTTAAAAAAGTGTCCACTATAACAATCTTAGTAAAATGCTTAGTACAGCACTTGATATTTTAAGAGCAATCAGTATATTATAGTGAGTTGGCATTAATGGCTTTGTTTCAGTTAGTGATGGTACTAGTGTTATCAAATAGGACTACACAGGAAAAATGTTTTATAGGCAATTTTCTAAATCAATTGTTTGAATGTAGGTTGCCTAATGATTAAAATATTTACAGGACAAATGAAACTAAAGAAACATTCTATTAATGCAAAATAGACAAAATATACCATTCTCCTTTTTAAAATTTTTGTTTAGAATGAAGGTGCCATGTTTCCTGTTGGGAAAAACATAGTATACACTTGCAACGAAGGATACTTTCTTATTGGAGACCCTGTTGCCAGATGTGGAGAAGATTTACAGTGGCTTGTTGGAGAAATGCATTGTGAGAGTGAGTGGCTGTGGTTGTAGTATGTAACTTCAGATGAGAGAATAATGTGGAAAAAAATGAACCGAGAGAAATAACCACTCATGTTAAACCCAATAACATGGGGCAGATAACCATATATCTCATGGCTTGATCTCTTTTTCCTGAAAGGCTGATAGGATACCATCCTAGTTTCAGGAGTAATTCAAATAAGGCTTCAGTTCTCTCTCATTGATAATATTCATTTCAGTAAGGTCAATTGTATTGTAATATTAACATTCTGGGTACAAATTAGAATAAGCCAGGGAGCTTTCAGGCTAAGATAATCAGCATATTATTTAGACTTCAATACTAGGGTTGATTAACTTAGTAATCCATCTACTTCCTTAAATATTTTATACACTAATCTGTTCAGATGTAGGCATGTGAATAAGAGTGTCTGCGTATTGTACTACCTTACATCTATTCTTTGGCTTCCATCTTCCATTTCAGTTTGTTTTTATTTTTCCACTTTACCTTCATTAGTTTTTGTTACTGTGAAGTTGTTGAGTTTTAGAAGAATCATGTTGTCTTGTTTTTTCATATTTTTCGCACAACTGAGGCCAAGTTGTTGGTTGGAGGTTTTAATCACTCCTAGTCTTTCTGCTGAAATAGTCTCAATGTTCAGGCCAAAAAGTGGACTGGCCAGATTGAGGGGCTATTTCTCACCATGACAGTGGATTTTAGCTTACTAACCAAGCATTTGCCCATGTATTCAGAGCACTGAGCCTGATCCCCAACACTGCTCAGTTTGAGGTAAACTAGTTTAGAGTCTCTTGTAGAAATTGGTTTTCCTCTCTGGTTTGCTGTTACTACAGAAGCTTCCCTTTGTGTACTGGGAGCTGCTGTTGGCTGCAGGGTACTTTACAGCCTATGGGCTGGCCCCCAAGTTTGTATCCCCAGGGTTAGCAAGCATGCAAGACTAGGGGTGCTTCCTCATATGTGTTAGAAAGTTGGAAGAGTAAACATAGCATTGAGTTCTGCACCTGCTGGGGAAGAACTGAGGAACCTAGTTGCTTTGCCTGCTGGTCTTAATGTTTACAGACCCTGTCTAATAGTTCACCTCCCTGTGGGGAAGAAGAGGCTGTGGAAGTCTCGTGATTCAAAGGGTCTAGACTCAGGGCTCTCAGTCCTGCTTGTCATCAAACCACATGCCAGGATACTGCTCATGAAGGTGAGTCTCAGTGCTTTCACACCCCACCAAACAATTTACCTCCCTTTGTGGGGAAGGCAGCTGTGGAAGTCACAAGATTCAGTGAGTCTGGGCTTGAGGACCTCAGAATGGACTAACAGCTAACACATGTAGGGATGTAGTTCCCTGTGGCAGACCTCAGTGCTTTCAGACCCTGCCTAGTGGTTTACCTCCCTATTTGGGGGAGGAGACTGTGGAAAACATATGATTTGGCATGCCTGGTTGGGGGCTATTAGATCTCCCTTTGTAGCGAACACACACTGGGATGCAGCTCCCAAGGGGCTTGTCTCAGTGCTCTCAGGCTTTGTCTGACAGTTCATCTCCCTGTGGGAGTGCGAGGGAGGAGGCTATGTGGGTCTCATGTGATTCAGAGTCTGGGCTCAGGGCCCTTACCCACCTAGCAGCCAACATGGGCAGCCAGGAGGCCAAATCCTATGTCAGCCATAGGTTCTGTACTTTGCTTCCATCTTGACTCTCAGGTGATGGGACTTGCTCATGGCCAGGTAGGAAGGGGCCTCTGATCACCTCAGATCATAGCTGCCAGATCTCCTTGCTGCTTGAACTTCTCTGTGGACCCACATCAGAACCTCTCTTTCTCTATGACAACCTCTTGTGGCTGTCTCTTACTCAGAAACAGTGGTAAGACTCCCTGAGATATGATTGTTCCTTGTTTTCAAGTTCCCAAAGTATCTCAAGTTTCAAACAATAGGTTCTCTTTCAAGATGGCTCTTGCTAAAGCTCTCCATGATAAGGGGGATTGACAGAATGTCTGGGGAAGGCTTGTCTTCCACACAGGAACAGTCATTGCCATTCTGTCACTAGGGCTTTCTGGATTACCTTGTGAATGCATCTTTGGCTTCCTCTACCCCTTCTAAGGAGCTGGGGACAGGCTTGGAACTATGTGTTACTTTTCTCTTTTCCTCAGTTTCTCTGTACTTTTCTGCTCACCTGACACCTCTTTTGTGATTCCTGATGCTCTTTCTCTCTTTCTATCTTCAGTAGTCTCTCCTATATTACTGACTCTTCTCATTCATGGAGTCAAAGTGGTGGACACTTTTAATTTGCCATTTTGCCCCTGTGGCGAAGTTGGAATAAAAATTTTTTCAGTTGATGAATAGATAAAGCTATAGGGATATATTTTTCCAAAATCAGTTTGTCTATTCTATATGAGGAATCTCTAGTGCACACATGCACATTTTCTCACTTGGAATTATATCCATTGGTGACATTTCTGAATCATTGGGTATGAATAATTTTATTTAGATTTAGTCAATCCTATCCATCTTTCATGTGCTTGTACCAATGTATATCCCTATCAGAGTCTGAGACAAAAATATAATATATACAAAATATACCACAAATAAATATATATTTATATTTTTTATATATAAAACATTCTTTGTTTTCCATTTTTTCATTCTGAATATCTTCCATTGATTTATCTTTCAGCTTATGAATTCTCTGCTTTAATTGTGACAATCTTTTAATAATTCTATTGGATTGGGAATTTCGTAAGTTTCATTTTTTTAATTCTAGATATTGCATTTTCCTGCTTTTTAAATACTTTGTAATTCTTCATTGAAATCCTCTGTCTTGTAATTTAGTTTCTTAACTATATCTTTGCAGTTGTTTCAAGTTCCATATTTGATTTCATTACCTAGCTCTCCTGTGGGGATATTCTTATTGTCTTTTATTGTAGGACTTTTTGAATGATACGTTAGTCTTGATTGAATGCCAGACTCTATGAATGAAAAATTAAAGATCTAATTTGAAGTTTTGGCTAATGTTATCTTCCTTTAGAGTAGATGAATCTTATTTCTGGCAATCAATCAGGCTGCTTTACCTTTATTCCAAGGGTGTATCTATCTATCAAGTGATCCCAATCAAAAAGAACTTTCCACTTGAGCTTCTCCTTTTTCATAATACTGGACTCCAAATTTTGATCCTATTGCTCTGTGACACTGCTAATAGTTATTAGAGTTTTAGCATCTGAACTACAGCTTTCTCCTCAGTTTAGCCGACTATTACCATATATTCTTAAAATCTACAAACACTTCATGGAGAAAAACATTACCTAATGCTGTAACTACCATTGTAGATTTTCTTTTCTGGAACCTTGGACATTCAAACTTGTAATGCTTTGATAGGTCTCTGATTCTCCCAGAAATAATTTTTTTCTCTTACTTTTGTATAGCTTTTCTATTTGTCTTGGTAGGACAGTGATTGTGAAACCAGAAAATCTATCATGAGAGAAAGAAATTCAACGTTAGATGATTAGTATTTTGAAGTCATAATATGTGACTAGTACTTTGCTATATGTCTGTCAGTACACAAGATATTTTGCAAAATATAGGCATTTAATAAATGCTATTTTTGAACAAATGAACAAATGGATTTTAGGATGAAGTAGTGCAGAAATGGAGCAACATTTTGTAGAATATTGTCCAAAGTCTATTAGGGAGATTACAATTTTTTTCAGTGCTGGGAATTGAACCGAGCATATATCCAGCAAGCCCTCTACCAGTGAGCTATATCTTCAGCCCATTAGATATGTTTTTTAAAATCATGAATTCTGACCTTCTTTCCATAACTATGCATATTTCTCAGTTTGCTCCTTTTTAAAGTAGAAGGTTGGAGCCAATGAACATAACAGAGTAAGAAAGAATAGAGATGGAAAACCAAAGGACACCAAACACTTTTATAGTTGCAAGACTAAAGGTGATGCTTTAAAAATTTCAGACAGGAGCATAGCCAATTGGAGCTAATGATATCCAGAAGAGAACAGCTCTTGGGAAAATTCTGATGGCACAGCACCACACTAGTGAGATAGGTGGATGCTGTGAATTCTGATTTTAACAGCAAGTGGGCTTTAGGGATCTTAGCAGGCTTATTAATTTTAACTTGCCACATTGTTTTTAGGGCAAGGGTGAGAGAATGAGAGTTGTTTTGGTCTTTAGTCATTTACTGGTCAATTTCCTGCCAGACACTGTGGGGCAAGTCTTTCAAGGCCTCTAAGAATGGACTCACTTCTTCCTCTTTCTCTGAAGTGAAAAAGCAAAACAACTATATTTGCACCAGTTAAGGCTTTTTTTTTTTTAAAAGATAGCTTAGGAAGGCAATGACCTTTGCATGTGCTCTCATTTGTCTTTAGAACTTGCCTGTGTTCTACCTGCACTGATGAATGGCATACAGAGTCATCCCCAGAAACCTTTCTACAAGGTTGGTGAGAAGGTGACTCTTTCCTGTTCAGGTGGCATGTCCTTGGAAGGTCCTTCAGCATTTCTCTGTGGCTCCAGCCTTAAGTGGAGTCCTGATATGAGGAATACTCAGTGTGTACAAAGAGGTGAGTGGTTTCTGTGTCTCTAAGCACAGCTATGCTCAGACGAGTGAGAATCCTTTTAGTGACCTTCATGGTATTGTGTCACCATTACTGTGTGTCATTTTCTCCATTTTGCATCTTGCACCTTTCCTCCCCCCAACCCCACCCAGAAGGAAGTTGGTCTGTAGATTGTGTAACAGGCTTATTCATCTTGCACACAGAGACTTAGGAAATGCAGACACAGACCCTGAGGATTCAGAAACATTTAACTTAAATCCCCCATATGAAAAATTAGCTTTGTACCTGTGAAGGTGCCAAGAAAATGAAGGCTTTTTAAAAGCCTATTTTGGATTTTCCTCTAATTTTTCTGTACTTTTAGTAAGTACAGAGTTAAGATAGTAATTTATATAAAATTCTGTGTTTCATTTCTGTGCTGTCAGAGTTTATTGATATTACCAAAATTGAAAATTTATAAAGCTTGTAAATTTAACACTGCAAAAACAGACATTATTGGGAGAAATGAATTGTGGTATGTAAAGTTCCTCTGAGTAGTGGTAATCCAACAATCCAGTATTTTAAACACCAGGCAAATGAAAGTAAGAACATAAGGTAGGAAAAGATGTAGAAAGCCAATATTTAGAGATATTTGAGATGGGATAGATGTTTTTCCGTAAAAATCTCCTATTTTTTCTTTGTTTACATTTTTGTATGTTGATTTGATATCTTATTACATTGCTCAAAGTGTTTATCACATCTAGGAGTTTTTTGGTGAAATCTTTAGATTCTTTTGAATGTTGGATCATGTCTTCTGCAAATAGGGATAATTTGATTTCTTCCTTTGTTTATATTTTTAATAAGTGGAAATATATTTTTAATAGTTAAAAACAGAAAATTTGCATGTTGTTTTGTATGATACTATTTTGTTTTTATTTATTTATTTTGGTGAGACTGGGGTATGAACTCAGGGCTTCTCACTTGCAAAGCAGGTGCTCTACTGCTTGAGCCATGCCTCCAGTCCAGTCTGGTTATTTTGGAAATGGTGTCTTGCAAACTATTTGCCCAGGCTGGCCTCAAACTGCAATCCTCCTTAGGCTCCCAAGTAGCTAGGATTATAGGTGTGAGCTACTGCCACCCAACCTGATATTGTTTCTTGAATGTCAATGCTGACCTCATCTTTTCTAGTGAGGACAGAGTACTAGATTCCATAAGTGATACTGTTAGGTGAATTCGATGTTTACAACTAAAGTGAACATGCTGCATGGACTGCTATGCTGCTGATGGTAGATTTGGGCTGTCATGATAAATAGATGATAGACAAGAGGATGGATGGAACAGAGCTGGTCTTATGGTGTCCCCTCCATGCCAGTTCTGATGCACTCTTTAGTTGTCAAAGCCCCACATCAGAAGACAATTGCTTTGTTTGGTACATATACTGAAGCATAAATATGTGTTTGTTTGGGATATGTGAAGTAATGCACCTGTACCTATAATTCTAAAATGACAGAGAACAATATACAGCTGATGAGGTTGCACTTTTGTTCCAAAGGAGATTATATAGTTGTCTTTGTGAGCTGTCTGCTTTAGTAGAAAATTCTATTTAGGCTGGTTTTAATTAAAGATGTTTTTCAGACCTGATGTTTTTCTGAAGGTGTGGATAACAGTAATAACTACCCTTAAAATAAGCTTATAACATACAAAACAATCCCAGATTTATCAGCCTCCAAGGTTGGTGTTTTATAATATCAGCTAAAAATAAGGAAATAAATAAAGTACCAGCTGTTTCAGTATTCAGTCTTTTAAAAATTATAATTAAATATATTTAACCTTTTTAAAAAATGTATAGACCAGTATCAAAAACATTCCCATTGGTGTACAACCATCACCACTATCCGTTTCCAGAATTTTTCATCTTCTTAAACTGAATCTCTGTGCTTGTTAAACACTCACTCTCCATTTCCACATGAACTCGTTGAGGGAATGCTAGATATGGATGAAGGCAACACTCTAGCTGAACTTTAATATATATATTTATTTTGCTAAACAAGCTATGAAGACAAAGCTATGTTCTTAAAGACAAAAGTCTTTGTTATAGGATCCTATCAATGATTTTTCACAAGAATTATAATAACTTTCAGCAAGCATGTAAAATCTAAGATTTTAAAATTTGCCCTAAAATAAATTTTCATTCATGATTCAGAACTAACGTATATGGTTTTATAATTGAACTTTAGTTTTGGTACATCAACCTTAAGCGTTCTCAACTCAATGGCACTCTCATTTGCGGCCTGATCCTCCTTTGTTGTGGAAGCCTGTCCTGTTCTTTGTAGGAAGTTTCACAACTTTTGTGGTCTCTGCCTCCCACATGCCACTAGCACCTCTCCCAAATGTTATAAAGAACAGTGTTTGTAGAATTGACACATGTGCCCTCAGGGCAAAGCTTCCCTGGTTGAGAAGCACTGATCTAGAAAATATCATTAAGAAGACATTTTATTTTGAAATGATTTCAGATTTCAGAAAAGTTGCAAATATAGTTTCCATATGTCCTTTATTTACCTTTGTTCAACACGATGTAATTTAGTTGACTAAAATTAAGGAATTGATATTAGTACAATGCTACTGACTTAATTACACACTTTATTCAAATGTCACTGTTCTTTCTGCTGATGTCCTTTTTATGTTCTAGGACCCAGTTCAGGATCCTACGTTGCATTTAGGGTGATACCATTTTAAATGGAAGCATGTAGGGATTGAGCACTTGTTTTTGAGATTGCTGGCCATGGCAGTCATGCTTCATATTGCTAGCATTTTCCAAGCTAGAATTGTTCACATGATCATGCTGTATGTCTAAATCATGTACATTTTGCAAAGTAAAGAACTTCCATGGGTTTTGTTTGTTTGCTTGTTTTTTATTGTACTGGAGTCTGAACTCAGGGCCTTGTGCTTGCAAGGCAATCATTCTACCACTTAAGCCACATCCCCAGTCCTTTTTGTATTTTTCAGATAGGCTCTCATGTTTTTTGTCTGGGCCAGTTTTGGACCACAATCCTACCTATGCCTCCCAAATAGCTGGGATTATAGAGATGTACTAATGTGCCTGGCCATTCCATAGTTTTTATAGTCATAAAAACATACTCTTCTGATAAACTATCTTTATAGGACATTAAATGAGTATCCTGTTTTATGATCAAAAGAATATGGTAATGACTTCCATTGCAGTAAAGGTGACAAGAGGTGTTTTAGAATGATAGTTGACTTTTCATCAGTTTCTAGAAAATGCAAAGTAATGGAGAAAACTTTATTAAGTGCCTCCAGATGTTTGCTCATTGTTGAGAGGAGACCACTTGGGCATTACATGTGAGAGGTTGTTGTAGATGTCTCAGGATATCATTCTCTAAGTATAAATCTTACTGCTGCTTTTGTTGTCATTATAGGCTTAGTGGGGAAAAATTCAATCCAAACATTAGCTTATAAACATCAACTTCTTGAAAGGAGACTGCGTTCCTGGTCTTGGATTCAAACAAATGTATACTTAATTCTGGCTTGGCTGATTTGTTAAATGTGTGAATTAACACTAATTTCCTTACTCTTCTGACCCTCAGTTTTTACATTTCTCAAGTGGGCATATTTTAGGGAGGATTAAATATCACAATATATAAAAAGTGCATGAGCAATTGTAAACGTTAAGAGATGGTAGATAGCATTACCAATGCAATTATCTATAGAGTATTCCGCGTATAACATGCTTTATTGCTACTATTGTTACTGTAGAAACTCTTTGCAGTTGATAATATTACAGACACTTGTTCAACAATTGAAATAATACCTTGTCTACCGTGAAGAGCACATTATTCCTTAATGATTGCATCTCCCTTACGCTTTTGTTTTAGATACTCCTTTAACACAGGCAGTGCCTGAATGCCAGCCCTGGGAGAAACTGCAGAATTCAAGGTGCATTTGTAAAATGCCCTACGAATGTGGGTAAGTTCTATCTTTGCTCACTATTCTTTTTTATTTTTATTCAAAATAAATGAGATGACTTCTTAGATTTCTTTGTGGTTATTACATTGAAGATGCAGCCTACCAAGAGTAAGAGTTAAGGGTCTTTATATTCTAATCTGGTCCATTGGCTGTCTGCTATAGGTTATCTGGTGTTAAGCAATGTTCTATTGATTGGGGAGAAGGCTGAAGGACTACTTGGGTGCTGCTTGTTCTATATATAAAGTGGAAAGAAATGACAAAACTGGCACCAGAGGATTTAGAGCTTTCTAGGATTAGGCTGAAATTCCCTTGGGACATAAACTCTTAAAATAATACCGATAGTGAAAAGAACAGTTCCTTTTCTGATTCTCAAAGTGTTGTCTCTAGATATGCATTATAAGAATGCCACCAACTTGAAATCACTTCTTGTAGGAGGGTATTGGATGTCTATGTCATAGTTCTAGTGGGAAACAAGTACAACTAGGTCAGGACAAGAAGAGGTTTATAAGGTCTCTTTACAGAAGTGTAGTTGGAGTGAAGGAAACTATAAGCCCCAGGACAGTACTGCTGTCCTTGGGACAGCTCCTCTTTATTTTCATGAGCAGGCCTGAAGGAGAGGGATAGGAGCATTTGTGAAACCTGGAGACAGGGAGGGATATGTGGGATGCCACTGAGAATGTAGACAGATGATGGTTTTTTTGGTGGTTCTGGTGTTTGAACTCAAGGCTAGGCAGGCACTCCACCACTTGAGCCACATCCCCACTTTAGTTATTTTTCAGATAGAGTCTCACTTTTGCCTGGGGCCAGTGTCAGACCCGTAATTCTCCTACCTATGCTTTCCCTGTATCTGGGATCATGTTGTTCATCACCACGCTCTGGCCCTGACTCTCCTTTTAGGAATTTCAGAGATGCCACAGGAGTGAACCAGAGTAACAAACACCCTACCTACACTCTCTTCCCTGCCCCCAGTCTCCCACCAGTGCTTCTCATTGACCAAAAACATTCAAAAGTAGAGGACAAGGAAGTCCTGACATGGCCCTTCCTGGTCATCCCCACACCCCAGTACAGATGGTGGAAGAGTGGAGAGACATCTGGGAGGAAAGAGGAGATAATTAGTCCCTGGGATTATGTATGGGCTACCTTTGAGTTTAAGAATCAAAGTACTAATTTACTAATTACTTGACTTTCAATTGTTGCAGTCATCAAAACCCCTGTTCAACTTCTTGAACCTATAGTAGGCAATAGGGATTGCACAGAATCATGTTTGCTGTGCAACAGAATAAGTAAATGGTGCAAATAGAAATCATGGTCAGTCCAGATTCATTCTTATTCCAATATTCCAACTCTACTGTTAACCTGTATTACTCATTATTTACTTTGAATAATTTTACTCTTCTTTCCAACTTCTTCACCTTCTTTAGTTTATCTGCAGTCTGTCATTTATAGACATAGAATGAGTTTTCGTATCATTTCATGGTATCAGGTACTGATAACAATGTGGCATTGTAAGGTTTCTGCCCTGTCAGCTGTTCTGAGTAGTTCTATTTAAAGTTTAAATAAACAGAGCAAAACCAAAAAAAATTGGTTTTGTTATATAAGTAGCTTCAAGTAAATTTTGCTCTTGGTCAAAGAAGAAAATATTAGAGTTAAATAAAATACATGAATGTAAGATCTTTCTGACTCCATCTGGTAAACAAAAAGCGCTTTGTTGTGTAAGTTTTCATTTACAGAAATGTCTTTCATATCTATCAGCACTCAGAAATGTGATTGCTTTTATTAGTGACTCTCTAAATGGCTACATGTTTACCATCTTAACATCAATGCATAAGAACAAATGTAGCATATTTTACAGAAATATCTCCAAAGTACTTTGTAAAAATAGACACTTTTAAAAACAACATTGAAAATACAATGTCATCTTCACTTGACTATTCAAGGTCATGATTAGTGGACAATGCAGTATTATGGACATGAACTCTGAGGGCAGTTGGGCTAGGAGGAGCTTATATTTCTTGTGGCCAGTGGTTTCATTTGATCTCTTTGACTGTTTGATCTTTGCTGATTTTCTGTCTCCTTTGTTATCAATCCATCAGCAGTTGCTACCAGATCTTACCTTCTCATCTAATTTGCTGTGTCTGATCTGTCCTAGATGAAAATAAATCAACACCAGGTGTCTGTGCTTAAAAAAATTGTGAGCATACAAGGGTAAATATGTTCATTTTGAAGATCTGAGGAGGTTGGTCTGTAGGAATGAAAGGGATTTAAGTTGATGTGCCTTCTTTTGCTATGGGTGATGTAACATGTGGGCTAGTGAATTCAAAGCCTCACTTTTCACTTGTCCTCCTTAGTTTTTTTTTTTGGGGGGGGGTTCAGAGAATCATTTATTTTTTAATTTTTTATAATTTTTTATTAGGATATATTCATTACACATGGGGGGATTCATAGTGACCATTCCATTAAACTTATATTGTATATCATTTACATTGCCCCCATTGTCTCTCCCCTGCAACCACTTCCCCACCCCACTTAAAGAAATGGCAAGAGGTTTATTAGTTCTGTTTCATACATGTATGTGAAGTCCATCAACCATATACCATCATCACCGTAATCTCCTTTCTTCACCCTCCTCCTCCTCCTAGTACCCCCCACTGTGCCTATTTTATAGTCCTGGTTTTCATTATTAATTTTTGAGTTGATGTTCAAAGTGGTGTCTCAATGCATGCCCACTGTGGGTGTGCTGTGCTTTACTTTGGTCTATTCAGTCCCTTAGAATAATCTCCCTTACCCCTTTACCTCCCTCCTCCCATTTTTCAACATCTTTCAATACACATCCTTATATTCTCTACCTTTACATCTTATGGTATGCAATATTACTGATGCTCTATCTTTCTCTTTTCCTTTTCGTCTTTCCCTGAGTTCCATAGAGTAGTTCCACTGCTACAAACATGTTCTACAACATATATGATCATGCTTATTTTTGTATATATGTTTAAGTTTGGATCTGTCTTCTACATATGAGAGAAAACATGCATCTTTTGTGTTTCTAATCATGGTTAACTTCACTTAGCATGATGTCCTCCAATTGCATCCATTTACCTTCAAATGACACGTCATTATTCATTGTGGCTGATTAGTACTTTGTTGTGTATATGTACCACAATTTCTTGATCCAGTAGTCAGTTGTTGGGCATCTGGGTTCTTTCCAGAGCTTGGCAATTGTGAATAGTGCTGAGATGAACATTGGTGTACAGGTGTCTCCACTGTATCTGTCTTACATTCTTTTTGATAGAGGCCCAGGAGTAGTATCACTGGATTATATGGCAGTTCTTGCTTTAGTTTTTTGAGGAATCTCCATATTGCTTTCCACAGTGGTCATACTAATTTGCATTCCCACCAGCAGCATCTAAGAGTTCCTGTTTTGCCACATCTTCGCCAGCATTTATTGATGTTATTGCCCCTGTTTATGGCCATTCTAACTGAGGTGAGATGAAGTCTAAGTGTTGTTTGATTTGAGTCTCTTTTATAACCAGGAAAGTTGAACACTTCTTCATGTATTTACTGGCCATTTGTATTTCCTTCCTTTGAAAATTCCCTGTTTAATTCATGTGCCCATTTCTTCATTGGGGTGTTGATTCTTTGGGGGCTGAATTTTTTGAGTTTCCTGTAGATTCTGGGTATTAGTCCCTTATTGGATGAATAGCTGGCAAATATTTTCTTCCAGTCTGTGGGCTGTATCTTGAGTCTGGTGGCTGATTCCTTTGCTGTGCAGAGGCTCTTTAGTTTGATGCAGTCCCATTGGTTCATTGTTTCTCTTAGGTGGTGAGCTTTTTGAGTTCTGTTTAGGAATTCATTCCCTGTATCTATCTGTTCCAGTATATTTCCTACTGCCTCTTGGAGTTGTTTCAGAGTTTCAGGCCATATATTAAATTAAGGTTTTGATCCACTTTGAATTGATTTTAGTACAGGGTGAAAGACAGGGATCTAGTTTCACTTTTCTACATGTGGTTATCTAGTTTTCCCAGCAGCATATTTTGAAGAGGCTGTCTTTTCTCCATAGTGTGTCTTTGGCTCCTTTGTTGAAGATCAGTTGGCTATAAATGTGTGGGTTTATGTCTGGATCTTCTATTCTGATCCGCTGGTCTTCCTGTCTGTTTTTGTGTCAGTACCATACTGTTTTTATTGTTATGGCTCTGTAGTGTAGTTTGAAGTTGGGTATTGTAATGTCTCCAGCATTGGACTTTTTGCTCAGAATTTCTTCGGCTATTTGAGGTGTTTTGTGTTGCCATATGTATTTTATGTTTGTTTTTTCTATTTCTTTGCAAAATGTCATTGGTATTTTGATAGGGATTGCATTGAACATGTAGATTGCTTATGGTAGCATGGCTATTTTCACAATGTTGATTCTACCTATCCACAAGCATGGAAGGTCTTTCCATCTTCTGATGTCTTCTTTGACTTCTCTTTTCAGTGGTTTATAGTTTTCATTAAAAAGGTCTTTGTTTCTTTCATTAAATTTATTCCAAGGTACTTTATTGTTTTTGAAGCTATAAATGAGATTCTTTCCTGATTTCTTTCTCATTCTGTGTGTTGTTTGGATATGGAAAGTTACTGATTTCTGTATGTTAATTTTGTGTCCTGCTACTTTGCTGAGAGTTTATGATTTCTAATAGTTTTTTGGTAGAGTTTTTGAGGCCTGTTAGGTATAGGATCATGTCATCTGCAAATAGGGATAGTTTGACTTCTTCCTTCCCTATTTGAATCCCTTTTATTTCTTGTTCTTGTCTTATTGCTCTGGCTAGGAATTCCAAAACTATATTGAATAGGAGTAGAGAAAGCAGACAGCCTTGTCTCGTTCCTGACTTTAAGGGGAACAGTTTCAGTTGTTTTCCATTTGGTATGATGTTGGCTCTAGGTTTGTTGTATATAGTCTTTATTAGGAAACTATTCCTATTAGGAATAGTAGGAATATTATTAGTAAACTATTCCTACTTTACTAGGAA